CCAAAGTTGGTTTAGAGTGGTTTAAAGAGTACATGGGAGCAGAGGAAATTGAGGCAACTAGCTTAGATAATTCTTTCTAGAAACTTTGACTGCTAAGAGAAAGACATAGGGGAACAGTAGCTCTTGGAAATAAGACTCGGGCACTGTTTTAAGTTGTGAGAGATTTGAGTATTTATAAATGTAATGGAGGCAGAAAAAGAGAGAAAAATAGTGGATAATGTAAGATTCTTAAAAGATAAGAAGCCATAGAACTCAGAACAAAGGAGGAAGGACATCTCTCCTAGTCTAAAGGAGGAAAGACTAGACAAACATGCAGGTAGGTTCTAGGTTTGATGGCAGAAGACTTGGCAGTTTTAGTCTGAACTACTTCCTCAGAAAACATAGGAAGAGGGTCAAATATTAAGCATAAAGGGAGGCAGGTTTGAAGTTTGAGTAGAGCAACAAAGGCTTAAAATGGTAACTGGGGAGAGTGAATTGGTTAGAAGGATATGGGAGAATCTGGGATGATGTTGAAAGGCCCAGTTGAGGCTATAATTCATAAACTTAAAGTGCTACATGTTTGCTTCATTTGGGTAATTTTCTCCAGAGTCACTAGGGAGGGCACAGAGAAAGACAGTTGAATGTTTGCAGAAATAACATTTTGCCAAATGCAATGAAAGTGCAGGTTTCTATTTACATGAAACTGACTGAAAGGGTGGAATTTGAATCTAAGACAGGGTTGGGGACTCACTGAGAAGGAAAAGTAAAAAGGTCATGGATTGGAAGTTGATGAGACTGGCAAATGGTTCGCGTGGGGACAGATGAGACTAAGTGATCGGGAAAGGTGGGAGGTTCTGGTTTGAGGACAGGATGCCTAAAAGGCATTTTGAAAGTTGACCAGCTTCAGATGTGGCCATAGAAGTTGGGGGACTTTGAATGGAGTGTGGAGGCAGGTTGTTTCAGATGAGGACATCAAGGAACTGAGGGCAGGAGTTGGGGTGAGAAGATTGTGCCAGATGCCAGAGTGTTCAGTGAATAGACAGGAGGCCAAGAGGTAGATATCAAGACTGCTTGGGACATCTACCTCGAAGATTAGTTTTCCAAATTATACTTTATTCTTTCTAACTGTGATGGCAAAAGTATCACCTAGTTATGTATAATCTTGTACTTTTCAAACTTTCTAAGGAGGCTCCTTTGTGTTGGTGAGCGGAATTATAGGGGGGATGCAACAGAAGCATGAGAAAGTTATGTTGTTTACAGAAGAAAGTGAGAGAGTGACCCAAAAGGGAAGATCCAGCGCAGTAGGAAGAAGACAAAAATAGAGAAGAGGTGTTAATGGGGAGGCCAGCAAGTAAGAGAGAGAGTGTTAGAGAACTGGCAGCTGCTATTAAACTCTCCTATGGGAACCTGGAGGGAAAGAGCCCCCTGGTTAAACGGATGTTTGGAAATTGAGAACAAACAAAAGTTTGATGTGCAAAACGTTCCCTGACTGTATTTTTAATAAAATCAATATCATGTGCCAGTTACAGGCAAAATTAGATGGGGCAACATATGAGAGACTGGCCTCAAGATTGTGAGAGCAGTGCTTTCCACAGGGTCCTACAACAGTCTCTGCAAGCACTTTTCCTTTTGATTAAATAGCCATTCATTTCTTAGATCTTTTTTGATGCTTCCTTAAAGACTCAGAATGCCTGTGACAGTTTATATATTCTAAGTAAGTCTCATATATGAAAGAACTTACATTTTCCATTAAAAAGAACCCACATTTGTTCATAACATTAATTCTTATTTTTATTTATGTTTTTGTTATTAAATGTGTCTGGCACTGGTAGGCAATCATATGTTTGATATTCAGGAAATAGAATACCAGTGACTCAACAGAAAAATTATTAGAATAAAAGTGTTTAGCAAGTTGTTGGGTATAAGAATGAGATCAATATTACAAATCAATTGGATTTTTATATACCAGCAACAATTAGAATAAAATAGCAATAAAATGTTATTTTTAAATAGATTTAATAAAGGTACAAGACTCAGTTCTCTCCAAATTGACTTATAGATTCAAGGCAATTCCAATCAAAATCCAGTATATCTTTTTCATGGAATTTAGAAAACTGAATCTAAATCTACTTGATGCCCTGGCTGGCGCGGCTCAGTTGGTTGGACATCGTCCAGTGCACTGAAGGGTTGCCAGTTCAATTCCCAGTCAGGGTACAAGCCTGGATTTCGGGTTCAATCCTGATGGGGGATGTGCAGGAGGCAGATCAATAAAAAAAACTAACTAACTAAATAAATAAATACATTTTATTTGAAAAGCAGAAGGTAAGAGTGCACAGGGTACTCCTGAATAAAAAAAAACAAACAAACAAACAAACAAAAAAAACAAAACAAGGTGTGAGACTTGCCCTGTTAGTTACCAAAGTGTTAATAAAGCTGGAATAATTAAAACTGGTTTTATCATAGGGGTAGGCAAACTGGCCAGTGGAAAAGGCTACAGAAGCAGACTCAAAAAGATACATATCTTTTAAAAGATACAGAGGTCATGAAGGTTAATATCCAGCCTATATAAAGACCTATAAATCAATGAGACACATGGTACTCAATTGAATAATGAGCAAAAGCCAAAATAGATATTTTAGTGAAAAGGAAATGCAAATATCTAATAAGCATAACAAGATCGTAAACCTATGAGTGATTAAGAGAAATATAAAAGAAGGCCCCAAAGATATTCAAGTGGCAAAATTAAGGAATCTCTGACTATACCAGGTGATGAGGACATTGAACAATGGGCACTCCCTGTGTTGGTGGGAGTATAAATTGGAAACCAATTTGGCATTATTGAATATCATCTAACCTATGACCTAGCAACTTCACACCTAGACACTAAAACCTTTAGCATTGTGCTGGGTGGTGTGGTACCGTGGTTAGAGCATCGGGCCTGCACACTGAAGGCTCTCGGGTTCGATTCCCGGTCAAGAGCACGTGCCTGGTGCTGGGTGACAGCGCGAAGCAGCCCTCCTGGTTGCACACGGAGAACCTCAGGAGCCCGAAGACAGTTCACCTCCAGGCGTGGCCGGTGGAAGATCTTCGGCCCGGCGGAGAGCACATTCCGCAAGTCGAGTGTGTGTCGCAGACCCTGCTTCGCATGCATCAGCGGGACCCTGAAGGCGAGGCTGAGATCTTGGTATCGGTCGGCCTTCTTACCAAAAGGACATCCAAGGTGATCATGAACTTGGCTCACCATCACCGCCAACTCCGGGCACAAGGCTCGTGGAAGAACGCTGCCCAGCAGGCCGAGCCCCGGAATTCTGCGCTGCAGTCCGGGTGGCTGCGGCCCAGGCGGCTGCGGCCCAGGCCTCCCCCAAGGCTACCCAGAGCCCGGGTCCCAGGTTATGACGGCATTGCGGGCCCAGAGCGCGCGCCAGGCAGGGTTCCAGTGAAAGCCCCATCGGGAGCCCTGTTCTCCGTCCTGCTTCTGCCGCAGACGCTGGGGAAAGGGTGGTGCGGGTTGTTCTTGGTTTCCCCTCCCCACCCCCATGTTAAATGTTTGCAAACACACATCTAAAAAGTTGTAACAAAAGAATCAAATTTCCTTAATAAAGAATTGAATTCCAAAAGAAAAAAAAAAAAGCATGTGCCTGGGTTACAGGTTCGATCCCCAACCACAGTCAGGACTCGCAGGAGGCAGCCAGTCCATGTGTCCCTCTCACTCCGACGCTTCGCTTTCTCTCTATCCCCCTCCCTCCTTGCCGTGCTCTCGGGTGAGGATTCGCCGAAAAAGAAAAGCAAAAAGCAAACAACCTTAGCACACATGCCTGAGATGAGAACATTCACAGTAGCCTTGCGTGTGCGGTTGGGACTCTTGAAAGAACCCACCTGCCCATGGACACGCACATCAGGGCGCAGCAGTGGCTCTGAAAGAACCATGGCGACACGTAATCATATGGTACAATTTCCTGTGCTGCCTTAACGAAACGCAACACGGTTGTTTAAGGACACATATCCGTGGTAACAAAACTTGGGAAACGGGAGGGAGGGAGGGGCAAATATTTACACAAAATCCAGGATAATGGAAACTATCTCTGAGTGAAAAATGGGGGACTGTGTCGGCAAGGATTTCCTGGGGGAGATTTCCTTGGGTTCTGGTAAGATTTTACTTCACAAATTAGGTAGAGTGTTCATCATCTTTCATAACTTATATGTGCTTCTGCAACTTTCAAATATTATAAAATTTTAACATTTAAATTAAAAGCAACAGGCCTCAGGCATATATTTGCCACAGGCCCCAACGCGCAAGGTGCTCTGGGTCAGCAGCAGTCTCGTGATCCCGCACGCGGGGGGGCGGAGCCCAGCGGCCCATGGCACGCATGCGTGCACTGCGACCAGCCAATCAGCGATGCTCCTGGGCGAGGTGCTGCGAGGCCAGCTTTTTCTCCGCGCACCAGTTCCCAGCTGCCTCCGAGGAGCGAGGAGCGAGGAGCGTCGAGCGTCGAGTAGCGAAGTGGGCGCCTCCCGTGAGGCGCCGAGCAGAGGAGGCTGGAGGGCCCGGGACACCCGTCGGAGGCCGGTGCTGTGGTCCTCAGCCATCGGGTTATTTTTTCAGGTGAGGAGGGTCTTGCTCTGTGAGGTAAGTCATTCTCAGTGGCTCCACCTGCGACCTTTGACAGGTAAAGGCTAGCAGGGCCTTGAACTGGCCCGAGGGCTACCGGACCGAGGGGACGGACGGGGCTGAGGGGGCAACTGGGGTTGTGAGGATCGAGGGGGGTGACCAGAGCTGAGGGGGCAACTGGGGTTGTGAGGATCGAGGGGGGTGACCAGAGCTGAGGGGGCAACTGGGGTTGTGAGGATCGAGGAGGCGACTGGGGCTGAGGGACCAAGGGGGAGGCAGAGGCGGGGACCCAGCGGAGGGGAGTGGGACCGACAGGGCGGCCGGGGCTGAGGGGGCGGCCGGGCTGAGGGGCACCGGCTTGAGGGGCACCGGGCGGAGTGGGAGGGCGCCAGGCCGCGGGTGGGGCGGGCAGAAAGGGGCTGAGCTGGGTCTGACGGGCTCGCTCATGATCATCCTGTCAACCACGTTTTCACTTTGGGGCTGAAATGCAAAAGCTGGGTTTGCCCACGTTTAGCCAGACTCTGGCAGAGGCCGGGCTAAAAGCCTGACCCCCGCTCTTCCCGGGTGAACTCTCCATAGCAGCACCCCTGGGAGCAGGGTTGATGCTCTCATTTTTGTTTGTTAATTCTCATTAGAGGATACTTTTCCATTGATTTTTATTTTTATTTATTCATTTATATATTTATTTATTTAGAGAGTGGAAGGAAGGGGAGAGACAGAGAACCATGATGTGAGAGGGACACATGGATTGGTTGCCTCCTCTGGGGCAGAGATCAGTTACTCTCGTTGTTATAACTTTCCGTCCATCAGAATAAAGGAGACTCCTAAATGTTACGCAACTAAGATAATCTTTATTTGATATTTCTAAGTTTGAAATTTACCAGTTTATTTAAATGTTATCTTTGGATTCAGAAGGTTTGAGATGTTTATTTTTTAAAAGTACAAAAGCATCTAAGTATGGTGCCCCCTGGAAGCAAACAAACCAAGAAATCAGGGACGACATCAGTGAAGGGTAGGAAGACATCCATGGAGGATCGGGCTGTAATTGCCTATGACTTTGAGAAAGAAGATAAACGAGATCTGAGTGGCTCAGAGGAGGATGCTACTGACGGTACAGTATATCATATGGTGCAGTCACCGTGTCCTACAGTTCATTTATTTTGAACCTACTGCATTTTAATTAAGACTTCCTCAAGCATTTAATGTACTTCATGTTTCTCATTTGGAGTTAGAGTAGCTTACATAGCAGATCTTGCCTTTGCAGTCATTATTCCCAAAATGTCGAATAAATAGTGCATGGCTTTGCTATGACATTAACACAGGAAAACTTGCAAAATTGTTCCTTTAAAATGGTCCTGGAGCCCTGGCCAGTGTGGCTCAGTGGGTCGGAGCGTCCTCCCATAACCTTGAAGGTGGCAGGCTTCATTCCTGGTCACGGCACATACCCAGGTTATGGGTTCGATTCCCAGTCCAAGTGGGTACGGGAGGCAGTAGATCTATGTTTCTTTCTCACATTGATGTTTCTCTCCCCCCCCCTCTCTTTCTCTCCTTCTTTCTCCCTTCCTCTCTCTCAAATCAATAATCATATCCTCAGGTAAGAATGAAAAAAAAAATGCCCTGGATCTTGATTTAATTCCACCTGACCTGCAGAGAAAGTATTGCATTTATATAGCGACTTTAAAAACTCATGTTGGCAAAAAGCCTAAAAGATCTCAAAATTAAGATATTACTTCATTAAAAATTATCCAAACAGCATACTTAATGTCAAAAATATTTTGATTTTTTATTGTCAATGCAGCAAAGACTCCAGCAATTGATAAGCTTGGGAAGAAAAGGACTTCTGCAGTAACAGTTGAAGATATGGGGTAAAGTGCTCAACATAAGTTTTGCCTGTTAGATAGTACTTTAAGAAAAGTAGATTTTGATTGTCAAATGAGTATTATATGTAAAATACTAAGGGTGTGATATTTCTTCCAAAACAAGCATGATATTTTATGGATCCTTAATTAAAAATATTTAAATGTAATTTCTTTACAGAGGTGAAGTACAGAATATACTGGAAAGATTTGGAGGTATGTTTTAGAAGATTCTTTGTATTAAAAAAATTGTTTTAAACCAAATAACTTGTATAATGATCAGTGTATGCAAGACTATCATTTATTTTTTTAATATATTTTTATTAATTTCAGAGAGGAAGGGAGAGAGAGAAACATCAATGATGAGAGAGAATCATTAATGGGCTGCCTCCTGCATGCCCCCTTCTGGGGATAGAGCCCACAACCCGGACATGTGCCCTGACTGGGGAATTGAACTGTGACCTCCTAGTTCAGAGGTTGACACTTAACCACTGAGCAACACCAGCCAGGCTAGATATTTTCTTAAATTAAGATTTTTGTATGTTTGGTATGGGTCTGTTTTAGTAAAGTATATGCTTAAAATGATCACCAACTATATTTTTAAAAAATAATTGCCCGTTTAGAACAGCTCAGTTGGTTGAGCATCCTCCCATGCACCCAGAGGTTGCTGGTTCGATTCCGGCTGAGGGCACATACTTGGATTACAGGTTTGAGCCCCAGTTGAGGAGCATGTGGAGGGCAACCAATTGTTTCTCTCTCACATCGGTGTTTCTCTCTCTCTAAGCATGTCTTCAGGTGAAGATTAACAAATAATAAAATAATTTTCTTATTCAACTATTTTTATCCTTTTTGGATTTAAAAATAGTTTTGTGTGTTTCATATAATGAGTTCTAATAACAATTAATCTAAATGTGTTGTTTCATTTGAGGTGAGGTGGGTGAGTATTTTATACATTTAGAAAAATGTAGCCTTTGTGTTTTTCTCATGAAGAAATTAAAGCCTGTCCTTGAGGTCCTTTTTTCCTTTTATTAACTCTTTTTGATCATCTATAAATTTTTAAAAAATCTGAACTTGGATATTAATAATGAAAAGTTTTCTCAGAAAAGAGCAAATAACCTTGTTTTTGGATATGCCTATTTTAAAATTTAATTTTAAATGTCTTTCTGAAACTATTGAACCACGTTTACTCATATTTATTTCAATACTAGAGGCCCGATGCACAAAATTTGTGCATGGGTAGGGTCCCTAGGCGAGGCTGGTGATCAGGGTCAATCTGTGGGGCAACCGGCGGGGTGATCTGGGGGCCCCGCTGGCACCCGCCTTGGCCAGCCTGGTGCTACCTGCTCGCCGGCCCTGCCCCCCACCGCCACCGCCGGTCGCCCCACAGAGGAAGGTGGCCAGCAGGGCAATAGGGGGGCGGTGCCACCCACTCACCAGCCAGCCCTGCCCCCGCTGGTCACCTCCCTCTGTGAGGCAATTGGGGCCCTCACTGGCATCCACCTTGTCTGACCTGGGGCCTATGGGCTTGGGGAAGCTCCTGCATTGAGCGTCTGCCCCCTGGTGGTTAGTGCAAGTCATAGCAACTGGTTATTCCACCGGTTGTTCTGCCGTTAGGTCAATTTGTATATTAGGCTTTTATTATATAGGATTTGGAAACAAAATATGTAATTTTTTTCAATATTACATTTTAATGAATATTTATTTTCCACATAGCTAACATTAGCAACGCTCTTAATACAAAGAAAAAAAGACTAGCACTGTATACCAAGATTTCTCTCAAAACCAGTAACCAGAAAATTGAACATATTTGGAAAACCCAACAAGAACAAAGGTATGGTTGTTGGTTCTTTCACAGCCACATTTTTATCACTTCATAGTATTCATTAGTGTAAATTATGAAAAACACTATTATATTTATTGGGGTCTTCAGTAAAAAATATATTTGGCTTGATTTTTCTCTAAGTCCTTTAGTACTGTAACTTCATTCCTTCATAGACTTGAAATCTATTTCCTAGAAATCAATAAAGATTACCTTTATCTCCTTTTAAATGAAAATTGAGGTTTCTTTGTCTAAAGGTAATTTGTATTTGTTATAGAAATATACTAACTGGATAAAAAGTAAATGTTATTAAACCATTAATCTAGTGAAAGTCAACTATTTAACAGTGTAGAAAAAGATCAATCTGATATTGTAAATTATTTGTATATTTAAGCTGAAGTAACTATTCTTTTATATAAATTGTACCAAAATGGGCACAAGTTAAGTGAAATATGTCTATTTGAAAATCTTATATGATAAATACTAATATAATAACTTCATTGAATCTATCATATCAGAACCCATATTCAGTAGAATAAATGAAAAATAAACTGCTTGGCAGTAAAATGGGGTTTTCTGGAAATTTTATATATACAAGAGCTAAAGCATGTGAAAGGACTTTTTTTATTAGGGTTAGGAAAATAAACACTTCTGGAATCTGATTTTACTTCTTGGTTTCATATCTGAAATTTTAAGATGCTTTTATTTCCTTCTTTTATTATAGTATAAAGTATGTAAAGTTACTTTTGTTTTGAATGTTTTTTTCCCATACTAGTATGAAATATGACAATATCATTATTATGTTTTATAGGCAGAAGCTTAGCCAAGAATATTCTCAGCAGTTTCTGACTTTGTTTCAGCAGTGGGAGACAGATATACAGAATTCTAAGAAACAAGAAGAAAAACTAGCTGTTAGTATCATGCTTAGAATTATAATTAATCTATTTAACCAAGTGTCAAGTGGAAATGGAGAGCCTACCCTTGTAGGAGACCCATAGAATTTGGCCAGGTTCCATGATCCATTGCTGGCATTATGCTTTGGTCCTGGTGACTGGAAAACCAGAGAAGTATAGGCACATGCCAAAATCATAAAAACTGATGGTCTTTGCTTCCTATATTGGTTGTGATTCTTTCAGTTCCAAGTGACACAAATTTGCCAAAGTACAAAAGGACTATTGGTTTATATATATAAAAAAAAAAAGTCCAGGGGTAGGTTAGCTTCAGGCATAGGTGGATGGGGGTGGAGGATTGCACATGTAGTATAGTCTTGGCTCTATCTCCAATTCTTAGTAGGCTCTCTCAATGTGGTAAGCAAGATAGCTTCTTTCAATCCCAGACTTAACAAATTTAGTAATCCCAGTCGACTGAGTTTTTCTTAGTAACCCTGACAGAAGAGTCCTCTGGAGGAATATCACTGATACCTTTGGAAAATTTGCCCATTACTGAATCAGTTATGATCAAAACATGGTTTACTCTCTTTTTTTCCTTCCCTTTTTTTGTTAATTCTCACCCAAGGATATTTTTCCATTGATTTTTAGAGAAAGTGGAAGGGAGGGGAGAGACACAGAGAGAGAAACATAGATGTGAGAGACACACATTTATTGGTTGCCTCCTGCACGACTGACCGTGGGGATCAAGCCTACAACCGAGGTACCGACCCTTGACTGGAATCCAACCCGGATTCTGAAGCCTATTATTATATAATAAAACTACATTATCTTTATTTCATCCTTTCATTGTTTGTAAAATTATCACACATCTCTTATCTAAGAGCTAAGGTACTATTCATATTAAATAATTTTAAGGGTTTGTTGATCATCTCAGTTTTGGAAATGTTAAGATGCATATGAAACATACCAAGAGGAGATGTTGAGTAAGTCATTGGTATGAGGCCAGTTCAGGAAAGAGGTATGAGTTGAACATACAAAGTTGGGAACTCTCACCATAAAGACAGCATTTAAGTCATTAGGTTGGATGAAATCACCAAGGGAGTGATTGTAAATGTAAAAGAGAAATCTAAGAACTGGACCTGTAGATTTCAATGTTTAGAGTTCAAGAAGATGAGAATGAGTGCCCTAACAGCTACAAAGAAAACCACTTTAAGGAAAGTGAAGAAAGCCTTTTAAGGAGAGGATTAACTTTCACATGCTGCTTATAGGCCAAATAAGGTAGATTTGGTGATGTGAAGGTCATTGGTGTTGATAAGGATGGTTCTGATCAGTCTTGAACAGAGTGGTTTTCGTGGAATAGTGAGTGCAAAAACCCAATTAGAATGAGTATAAGAATGGGGGTGGAGGGAATGGGTGGTAGCCTGAGTAGAGAGTGTTATTGTGGTTATATTGTTGTTTGTTTTGCATTGTTAATCCTCACCCAAGGACATTTTCCCATTGATGTTAAGAGAGTGGAAGGAAAGGAGACAGACAGACACATCGATTGGTTGCCATCCACAGGAGCCCCAACCAGAGCCAGGGATCCAACCTGCAACTAGGAATATGCCCTTAACCAGGAATTGAACCCTCAACCCTTTGGTGTGTGGGCCAACACTAACCATTTTGCTACATTAGCCAGGGCATGGGGTTTTGATATTGTTTTTTAAAGAATGATGAAAGAGTTGCATGTTTGTGTGCAAATAGAAATAATCTTCAGGGAAAAATAAAAAATAGTGGAAAGAGGGGAGACAGTTGATGAATTCCTGAGAATGGATGGGACATGTGAAAAAGCCTCAGTAAGGATAGTATATCCTTAAAAATAGGAGAAGGTAGAGTATATGAGCACACAGAGATGTAGATGGGTATGTAGATACGGTGATAGACTGAAAACTCTTTCTGGATTGCTTCTGTTTAGTAAAATAAGGTCATCAGAGGATGGAAAATATGTTGCCTTTTGAAGTAAAATCAGAAGGTATAAGATATTTTCTTGAGAGTGGGACAATGAACAGACTAAGAAAATATAATTGCCAAACACCACTAAGGGTCCAATTTAGGCTAGTGATCATGATTTAAAGAGACCTGTTAGTGTAGTTGCTTTCTTGAACTATGACCATCTGCAGGATTGTAAGCAGGATAGCTAGAGTTGTATTTTCCAGGGTTGAGATTAGGCAAACAAGTGTGACAGAATAAGAAGGGAGAGCAAGATATAGGTGGAAAGGAGTAATTATAATGATTGACCACAGAATTACACTGAGAAAGAGGAATGTGAGGACATGGGAATAGAGGACAGTGAAAAGTAGGTAGGATAAATAGATTTTAGGTCTTTTTTAAAATATTTTTATTGATTTCAGAGAGGAAGGGAGAGGGGTAGAGAGATAGAAACATCAATGATGAGAGAGAGACATTGATCGGCTGCCTCCTGCACACCCCCAACTGGGGATCGAGCCTACACCCCAGGCATGTGCCCTTGGCCGGAACCGAACCTGGGACTCTTCAGTCCGTAGGCCGACGCTCTATCCACTGAGCAAAACCAGCTAGGGCGATTTTAGGTCTTGATAGAGATCATTGAGCTTTAATACTACAAAGAGTGAGCTAGAACAGTAAAGAGAAGTGGTTGAACAAAGGGATATATGGAGAAACAGTAGAGTAATGGTTAGAGCCTAGAAACATAACTGTTTGGAATCACATTCTGGTTTGACCAAATGCTAACTGTGAACTATGGAAAAATTATTTTTCTTTTTTCCTCAGTTTCCTCATTTATGAATGGGGGAATAATAAGAATACCTATCTCATAGAGTTGCTTGGAGGATTAAATTTATATATAACTAGAGGCCCGTTGCAGGAATATTCCTGCAAGAATAGGGCTTCCTGAGACCAGAGTGAAGCAGAGAAGGGAGTGAAGCCCACCAAGACAGGCTTCGCTCCCTTCTCTGCTGCCTCCCTCCCTTCACCGCTTCGCCCTCGGCTCCCTCCCGTCTCTGCCGCCTTGCTCCCTCCCTTCCCCGCTGCCTCGGCTCCCTCTCTTTCCCGCTGCCTTGCCTCCCTCCCATGTCCTCTGCTTCACCGCCCTCCCGTGTCCACCACCTCACTCCCTCCCTTCTCCGCCACTTCGCTCCTTCCTGTGTCCGCTGCCTCAGCTCCGCTCCCGTCTCTGCTACCTCCGATCCGTTCCCTTCTCCACCACTTGGCTCCCTTCTGCAGTGCTCGGCTTCCTTCTACACTGTCTTCAGTCTTCACTGGGCGCCAGTGTATGCAAATTAACCGCCATCTTTGTTGGGTTAATTTGCATACTCTTCTGATTGGCTGGTGGGCATAGCAAAGGTATGGTCAATTAGCATCTTTGTCTTTTATTAGTGTAGATAAATTTATTTAAAAGAGTTCAGAGTAGTATGCTATTATTCATACTATAAACAGGTTACTAGTTATTGGTAATGATAGAATCTAGGGCAGCCGTGGGCAAACTATGGCCCGCAGGCCGGATCCGTCCCGTTTGAAATGAATAAAACTAAAAAACAAAAAGACCGTACCCTTTTATGTAATGATGTTTACTTTGAATTTATATTAGTTCACACAAACACTCCATCCATGCTTTTGTTCTGGCCCTCCGGTCCAGTTTAAGAACCCATTGTGGCCCTCAAGTCAAAAAGTTTGCCTACCTCTGATCTAGGGTATAAGTATGTAAGGGAATGACTAAAGTAGGGTAGAAAGTAGGCCAAGGAACTGAAAGACCAGCATTATCGGAAGGATTATCTCTGTTGATATTGAAAGCACCAAGAATTAAGATATATTGAGTATTGTTAAGATTTTCTATTCAGTGACTGGTAGGATTATTATATTGTACTAGAGGCCTGGTGCATGAAATTAATGCACGGGGAGGGGGTGTCCCTCAGCCCAGCCTGCACTCTCTCCAATCTGGGACCCCTCAGGGGATGTCCGACTGCTGGTTTAGGCCTGACCCCTGTCCGGCAGTCGGACATCCCTCTTGCAATCTGGGACCGCTGGCTGCAAACTGCTTGCCTCCCTGCCTGATCACCCCTAACCACCTCTGCCTGCTGGCCTGATACCCTAACTGCTCCCCTGCTGGCCTGATCACCCCTAAATGCCCTACCCCACTGCCCTGATTGCCCCTAACTGCCCTCCCCTGCTGGCCTGATCGCCCGTAACCACCTCTGCCTTGGCCCCTGCCACCGTGGCTTCGTCTGGAAGACATGCAGTCTAATTAGCATATTACCCTTTTATTAGTATAGATATTCATGGTGAAGACAGATTTTCTCTAATATTGTTGTAATAGCTGTTAAAACAAATATCTAAAAGTATTGACTTTAAAACTATTCCCTTTAAACTTATTTTTTTTTGCTACATTTAAAAGTTTACTCAAATTATCACATTTTTTGCTTTTACATTTGCAGAATTTATTTCAACAGCAACAACAGATTTTTCAACAATCTAGACTTGGTCAGAGCCAGAGACTGAAAACAATTAAACAGTTATATGAACAATTCATAAAGGTCTGTTGTATTTCGTAACATAGCATATTCTTATAAAGCAATTTATGTTGGAAGTAGAATATATTTTTCTTTCTAAGTTTAAGGAAAAACATTTTGCTTATGCATTTAAAATTCTTAACTATTCATTTTAAATTCATTGTTTTTTATTTAAGTACTAATGTATTCTACTTTCAGATTCTAATGTTTTTGTGGCCATTATTCAAAATAGAAAATGGTAAATTGGGAATTTTACCAAAAAATATATATATTGTGCATAAGATTTGTACATAATATAAGCACTGTGATAGTTCTCGGTTCAACTGAAAATAGAAAGTTCATAAATCATTTCTTGGTAGATTTCCAGTCTTTTTTTTTTTTTTAGTATGTTCAATATTGAAACCTTAACAGATCATTAACCCACTGTTTCAAGCAAAGTACACTACAGTTGTTACCTCCTATAATACTATTTGATTCATGTCTGGCACCTTTTAATCCTAGTGGGCATTCTGGTTTTGATGCATTACTTAGAATATTTTTATTAAGAATAAATAATGTACACTACTTGAATTTTTTAAAGTTCCTACTTTTGAAAATTAATTGCACAAGTTTAGAACCTGAGATTAAAAATGGTGATTTATAACTAAACTAGTTTTTTGTGTTTTAGAGTATGGAGGACTTGGAGAAGAACAGTGATACTCTAGTTACTGATGCACAAAATGAACTTAAAAATGAAATGGCTATGTTTCAAAAACAAATTATGATGGATACTGTAAGTTATGATATTACAATTGAAAAGGATTAATATGTTTTAAGCATTGAAATATTTTATTTGTTGAAATATGGTTAACACTTATCTAAAAATTAAACAAATGTTTAATATCTCCTTTCATGAACAGCAGCAGCAGGAGATGGCAATTGTTCGAAAGTCTCTTCAATCCATGTTATTCTGATGACTCTTTGAAGGGAGAACTTGAACCTAAGTAATATGATACAATGATAACATTAGCTAAGAGGCATATACATTTTTAGAGTGGTTTAAAAATTGTATTTTCAAATATTACATTGTGTTACTCATTAGCTTAAGTGCAAGCCTCTTCTTTGTTAACCTCCAAATAAAATCTAAACAGTTATGTGAGTAGCAGCAATTCCTAAATTGTATGTATAAGCTTTCTGCCTTTTAATAGTAATAGTGAATTTTTCTGACATTTGTCAATTAACTTAATAAAGATGATCTAATTTCAAGTTTTGACTTCAGTGTATCTGTATCAGTCCCCAAAAGTAGAAAGCACAAGTATTATAGGTTACATTGTTATTCTTTAAGAAAAAAAAAATCTATTTTTATATGTACATCCTTTTGTATAAAGTCATTAAGTTACATAGCCAATTCCAATGATAAGATTTCAAAAGAAAATCTATTGACTTATAAAATGTATTAAAAGCAACTTAAATTTGTGTTGTGGATTAAAACCACTAAAAACCATTAAGATGACTGAACAAGATATAAATACAGATTTTAAAATACAGATTTGTGAATGTCATTTCCACAAAGACAATAAAATGCCATTTAATTGAGCTTGGTCTAAAATTAAATGGCACATACTTGTAGTACTGATTAAATATATCGAAGTTTGATTTTATATTCATTTCCAAACTTGAACAGTTAATTCATATACCTTGTCTTTTAAAATGTGTATTTTAAAAACAAAATATATGAAACACTTGATTTAATAAAGAAATTGTTCCACCATTTGTTTTTTTTTTTTTTTTTTTTTTTTTTTTTTTTTTTTTTCTTTTTTTTTTTTTTATTTTTTTATTTTTTTTTATTGCTTAAAGTATTACAAAGGGTATTACATATGTGTCCATTTTATCCCCCCGCCCTAGACAGTCCCCTAGCCTCCCCTATCCCCCAATGTCTTATGTCCACTGGTTATGCTTCTATGCATGCATACAAGTCCTTTAGTTGATCTCTTACCCCCCTACCTCCTGCCCCGCAACCCTCCCCGGCCTTCCTGCTGCAGTTTGACATTCTGTTTGAGGCAGCTCTGCCTCTGTATCTATTATTGTTCAAAAGTTTATAATGGTCTCTATTATCCATGAATGAGTGAGATCATGTGGTATTTTTCCTTCATTGACTGGCTTATTTCACTTAGCATAATGCTCTCCAGTTCCATCCATGACATTGCAAATGGTAAGAGTTCCTTCCTTTTTAGAGCAGCATAGTATTCCATCGTGTAGATGTACCACAGTTTTCTAATCCATTCATCTACTGATGGGCACTTAGGCTGTTTCCAGCTCTTAGCTATGGTGAATTGTGCTGCTATGAACATAGGGGTGCATATATCCTTTCTGATTGGTGTTTCTGGTTTCTTGGGATATATTCCTAGAAGTGGGATCACAGGGTCAAATGGGAGTTCCATTTTCAGTTTTTTAAGGAAACTCCATACTGTCTTCCATAGTGGCTGCACCAGTCTGCATTCCCACCAGCAGTGCACAAGTGTTCCTTTTTCTCCACATCCTCTCCAGCACTTGTCGTTTGTTGATTTGTTGATGATAGCCAGTCTGACAGGTGTGAGATGGTACCTCATTGTTGTTTTGATTTGCATCTCTCGGATGATTAGTGACTTTGAGCATGTTTTCATATGTCTCTTGGCTTTCTGAATGTCCTCTTTTGAAAGGTGTCTATTTAGGTCCTTTGCCCATTTTTTGATTGGATTGTTTATCTTCCTTTTGTTAAGTTGTATGAGTTCCCTATAAATTTTGGAGATTAGGCCCTTATCGGATATGACATTGGCAAATATGTTTTCCCACACAGTGGGTTTTCTCGTTGTTTTGTTGATGGTTTCTTTTGCTGTGCAGAAGCTTTTTATTTTGATGTAGTCCCATTTGTTCATTTTCTCTTTAGTTTCAAGTGCCCTAGGAGCTGTATCAGTGAAGAAATTGCTTCGGCATATGTCTGAGATTTTGTTGCCTTTGGATTCTTCTAGAATTTTTATAGTTTCCTGTCGTACATTTAAGTCCTTTATCCATTTTGAGTTTATTTTTGTGTATGGTGTAAGTTGGTGGTCTAGTTTCATTTTCTTGCATATATCTGTCCAATTTTCCCAGCACCATTTATTGAAGAGACTATCTTGGCTCCATTGTATGTTCTTGCCTCCTTTGTCAAATATTAATTGAGCATATTGGTTCGGGCCGATTTCTGGGCTCTCTATTCTATTCCATTGATCTATATGCCTATTCTTGTGCCAGTACCAGGCAGTTTTGAGAACAGTGGCTTTGTAATACATCTTGATATCTGGTATTGAGATCCCACCTACTTTGGTCTTTTTCAGGATTGCTGCAGCTATTCGAGGTCTTTTTTATTCCAGATGAATTTTTGGAGAGTTCGTTCTAGATCTCTGAAGTATGCCGTTGGTATTTTAATGGGAAGTGCGTTGAATTTATAGATTGCTTTGGGTAGTATGGACATTTTAATGATGTTGATTCTACCAATCCATGAACACGGTATGTTCTTCCATCTGTTTATGTCTTCCTCTATATCTTTTTTCAACGTCCTGTAGTTTTCTGAGTAGAGGTCTTTTACCTCTTTAGTTAAGTTTATTCCTAGGTAGCTTAATTTTTTTGGTGCGATGGTAAACGGGATTGTTTTTATAATCTCTCTTTCTGAAAGTTCACTATTGGTGTATAGAAATGCCTCGGATTTCTTGGGGTTAATTTTGTATCCTGCTACATTGCCAAATTCATGTATTAAGTCCAGTAGCTTTTTGATGGAGTCTCTAGGGTTTTGTATGTATAATATCATGTCGTCTGCAAATAAGGACAGTTTTACTTCCTCTTTTCCAATTTGGATGCCTTTTATTTCTTCTTCTTGCCGAATTGCAATGGCTAACACTTCCAGTACTATGTTGAACAGGAGTGGTGAGAGGGGGCATCCCTGTCTTGTTCCTGTTCTTAGGGGAAATGGTGTTAGTTTTTGTCCATTGAGTATGATGTTGGCTGTGGGCCTGTCATATATGGCTTTTATTATGTTGAGGTATGATCCTTCTACTCCCACCTTGCTGAGAGCTTTTATCAAAAATGGGTGTTGAATTTTGTCAAATGCTTTTTCTGCATCAATTGATATGACCATGTGGTTTTTTTCTTTCAATTTGTTTATGTGATGTATCACGTTTATTGATTTGCGGATATTGTACCATCCTTGCATCCCTGGGATAAATCCTACTTGGTCATGGTGTATGATCTTTCTGATGTACTGCTGGATCCGATTTGCTAAGATTTTGGCATCTATGTTCATGAGGGATATTGGCCTGTAATTCTCTTTCATTGTGTTGTCTTTACCTGGTTTTGGTATTAGGGTGATGCTGGCTTCATAGAATGAGCTTGGAAGTGTTCCTTCCTCTTGAATTTTTTGTAGTAGTCTGAGGAGGATAGGTTTTAGTTCTTCCTTGAATGTTTGGTAAAACTCCCCTGTGAAGCCGTCTGGTCCTGGGCTTTTGTTTGCTGGAAGCTTTTTGATGACTGCTTCAATTTCTTCCATAGTTATTGGCCTGTTGAGATTTTTAGATTCTTCCTGATTGAGTTTTGGAATGTTGTATTTTTCTAGGAATTTGTCCATTTCCTCCAGGTTGTCTAGTTTGTTGGAGTAGAGCTGTCCATAGTATTTTTTAACAATCATTTGTATTTCTGTGGGGTCTGTTGTTATTTCGCCTCTATCGTTTCTGATTTTGTTTATTTGGGTCCTCTCTCTTTGCTTCTTGGTGAGTCTGGATAGAGGTTTGTCAATCTTGTTTATCCTTTCAAAGAACCAGCTCTTGGTTTCATTGATTTTCTGTATTGTTTTTTTGGTCTCTATGTCATTTATTTCTGCTCTAATCTTTATTATCTCCTTCCTTCTGCTCACTCTGGGGTTTTCTTGTTGCTCTCTTTCTAATTCTTTGAGTTGTAGAGTTAGATGATTTACTACCATTTTTTCTTGTTTGTTGAGATAGGCCTGTAGAGCTATAAACTTCCCTCTCAGGACGGCTTTCATTGTGTCCCATAGGTTTTGGATTGTTGTGTTTTCATTGTCATTAGTTTCCAGGATGTTTCGAATTTCTTCTTTGATTTCATTGGTAACCCAATCAATATTTAATAGCATGCTATTCAGCTTCCAGGTGTTTGAGTATTTTGGGTTGTTTTTATTGTAGTGTATTTCTAATATTATGCCATCGTGGTCTGCGAAGACGCTTTTTATGATTTCAATTTTCTTGAATTTGGGGATACTTTGCTTGTGACCCAATATATGGTCTATTTTTGAATATGTCCTATGAGCATTTGAGTAGAATGTATATTCCCTGGCTTTCGGGTGAAGTGTTCTGAAGATGTCTATTAAGTCCATCTGATCTAGTGAGTCATTTAGGATTGCTATATCTTTGCTGATTATTTGTCTAGAGGACTTATCCAGTGCTGTCAGTGGTGTATTAAAGTCCCCTACTATGATTGTATTGTTGTCGATGTCTCCTTTGATATCTTCCAGGAGTTTTTTTATGAATTTGGGTGCTCCTGCATTGGGTGCATATATGTTTACCAGGATTATATCTTCTTGTTGTATTGATCCCTTTAGTATTATGAAGTGGCCTTCCTTATCTCTTGTTATGGCCTTCAGTTTGAGGTCTATTTTGTCCGATATAAGTATTGCTACCCCAGCTTTCTTTTCCTTTCCATTTGCCTGAAAGATATTTTTCCATCCTTTCACTTTCAGTCTGTGTGAGTCCCTTCTAATGAGGTGGGTTTCTTGTAGACAGCAGATGTATGGGTCATGTTTTTTTATCCATTCAGCCACTCGATGTCTTTTGTTTGGAGCATTTAGTCCGTTTACGTTTAAAGTTATTATTGAAAGGTACTTGTTTGTAGGCATTTCTGTTTTTGTGTGGCTGTTTTCTTTCTGAGCTTTTTATTTCTTATTTTTATACCAGTCCCTTTAGCATTCCTTGCATTGCTGGCTTGGTGGTGATAAACTCCCTTAGCCTTTTTTGTCTGTGAAGCTTCTTATTTCCCCTTCAAGTTTGAATGATAGCCTTGCTGGATAGAGTATTCTTGGATTCAGTCCTTTGCTTTGCATCACTTTGTAAATTTCCATCCATTCTTTTCTGGCCTGATGTGTTTCTGTTGAGAAATCATTTGACAATCTAATGGGAGATCCCTTGTATGTAACTTTCCGTCTCTCTCTTGCAGCCTGTAAGATTCTCTCTTTGTCCTGAACATTTGCCATGGTAATTATGATGTGTCTTGGTGTGGGTCTTTTTGGGTTCACCTTGTTTGGGACTCTCTGGGCTTGTGTGACTTTTTTCTTCCCCACCTCAGGGAAGTTTTCTGATATTATTTCTTCTAATAGTTTTTCTAATCCTTGTTCATCCTTCTGTTGTTCTGGTACCCCTATTATTCGTATGTTGTTTCGTTTCATGTTGTCCCAAAGCTCCCTTAGGCTCTCCTCCTGTCTTTTCATTTTTTTCTCCAATTGCAGTACATTTTGGGTGTGTTTTGCTTCCTTGTCTTCTAAATCACTAATTCGGTCCTCCGCTTCTCCTAGTCTACTGTTGATACTTTCAATGGAGTTTTTCATTGCAGCTATGTCACTCTTCATATCTTCTTGGGTCTTACTTAAGTTGTTGATTTTTTCATCTGTTTCTTCTAGCTTCTTCCATATGTTATCGATTTTTTCATCTGTTTCTTCTAGCTTCTTCCATATGTTATCGATTTTTTCATCTGTTTCTTCTTGCTTCTTGCTGAGGTTGTCGATTTTTTCCTCCATCCGGTTTATGCACTCTAGGACCCTTATTCTGAATTCTTTTTCTGTCATGTTGCATGCCTCTGTATTACTTAGCTGCTTTTCTGGAGAGTCCTCCTTCTCTTTCCTTTGGGGGTTTCTTTGTCTACCCATGTTTGATCTCACTGACATATCTAGACGTTGAGTCGTTCAGTGGCTGCTCCCTTGGTGGCAGTGACTCCTTGGTCCGCGGTTCCTCTTCGGGCGGTTGCGGTAGCAGCTGCTCTTCAGTTGGCAGCAACTCCTCTGGTGGGTGCTGTTCACAGCTGTGGTGGCTCTTCTGGCTGGTGGGGCGAGGTTTCACGTACAGCTGCTGTTCCTCAGCAGAGGGTGTGGTGCTCAGGAGGTTGCTGTTGCTTGGATCTGCTGTGTTGATTTAAAGGCACAAAATACAACACAACAAGGCACCACGTACCAGGCACTATACACAAATATATTCACGATATTAATAACCCCAAATAAAGGTGACCACCTGAATTAAGAGAATTAGGGGATAAGGAAGAAGGAAGAGAAAAAGAGAAAAGAGAAAAAAGAAAAGAAAATTAGGGACCAAAAAAAGGAGTGCAAAAATGAAAGTGGGAAAAAGGGGGGGGGGGAAGTAAAAGCGAGAAAAGAAAGGAAAAGAAAAAAAAAGAGCGAAAAGAGAGAATGAAGTGGAAGAGGGGAAGAGACTTTTTATATGAGGAGAATACTCCTATAGAACAGCCATTAATCCCAACAAATTCCAGCAACAGCTCCCTGGAGATAAATGCAAACTAGAAACAACCAATAATATAACAATGAAAATAGAATGGAGAACACTAATCCCAAAATAAAATAAAGAGAAAATAAAATGGCACTTTAAAAAAAATGGTAAAATGGTAGCAGTAATAATACTGGTTAAAAATAAGAAGGTAGTAATTAAAAGGGTAAAATCAGGTGATGGAAAAAAGAGGGGGAAAAAAAAAAGAAGAAGAGGAAAAGAAAAAAAAAAGAAAAAAAAAAAAAAAAAAAATTGGTTTCTTAGTTAAAAGGTGAAAAAAAAAAATATTGCAGTAGTGAAGGTCCTTCGGTTCTTCTATTCTTCAGTGTGGCTCGCCTTAGACCTGCCAGGTATTCAGGAGAGTGTTGAGTTTCCCTGCGATACACTGTTCCTCTGTGTTGTAAACCACAGTCCTTATTTTAAAGCAAGCCGCATTTGTTTCCCAGACTGCCTTATTTTGTGTTTAGCAAAGAGTCAGTTTGTGGGTCAGCCTCTGGGTGGCAGTGTTCTGGGGTTGGCCTCTGAGGCTACAGGGCCTCTCTGTCCAGTGGAAGTTCACTGCCCAGAGCTGGCTGCGTAATTGTTACCGGTGCTGTGTTGTTGCTGGGATTGAAAATCCCTCTATAGGCCAGACCCTGTTAACTCCCAGGGACTGATCAGGTTATTTTAATCCTTGATCTCCTACAGGGTGGAATCTGGGTGTGGCTGTGCTCCTTGCCTGGGGGCTGGGGGGAGGAGTCTCACTCTCCGGAGAGAATGGCTGCCTCAGACGTGGGCTCAGGGGTGTCTCAGCACTCAATTCGCTGCCACCTCTCCCGGCCCCCCTTCTCTCCTCAGTCTCTCCCCAGATTCCACTCCTCCGCACACTCTCCCTCTCTTCAGCACAGGTGAGTGTCTGTATCCGAAATGTCCCATGAACAGGGTTCAGTGAAAACAAACAAACAAACGCCGGCCGCGGAAACGGGGAAGGCTTGGTTTCTGTAAGCTTCTTCTCTTACCGGGACTGCATGGTCTGATCAGCTCTTCAGGCTGCCCCCTTTAGGCTCAGTCCTCTGTGATCACAGACCCAGCTCTCAATTCCCCCGGCAGCGCCAGGAATCCCGCGGTTCTCCTTTCCCCCGTCAGGGGCTGTGCCTGTCCCAAGGGACGCGGCTGTCTGCCACGCGGTCTCCCTCCGACTCTCTGGGCTCAGAGGTCTGGCAAACTTTCCTGCCCAAATCCCTGGTTTTTTTACCTTTCCAGGGGAGTTCTGCTCTTCCCGGCTGTAAACCGTCTCGCCAGCTGAGGAATTTCGCCAATTCGGGGTGGATGTTACTAGTTTCAGCTGCTCACTCCATTTGCTCAGGGACACGACCTGGGACGCGTCTGCCTATACCGCCCTGAACCACGCTTTGATCGTGAAACAACCAGAATGTTCCAGAAGACATGACAAAGTAATTTTGCTTCATGATGACGCACCATCACACACTTCAAAGCCAGCTCCCACCATTTGTTTTAAGTATCAGCTAAACTTACTATTTTTTTGCTCAAACTGCTTTCATTGACTCATTCAAAACAAAAATTATCCCCCCCCCCCCAAACATGCCCATTAGAAGTGATTTTCTCCTGTTTTACCATGTTTTAAATTCTAATCCTCCCCCACCCCATAACCCACTCTTATCTTACTTTTAAGGTTTTTAAAGTTTTAAAAAACAAATCCATGGGAATTCTGTTTTTCTGTGATAACTTAAATAGGAAGAAATTAGTCCACCATTAACAATAGTCTACCTGACATTAGGGGGATAATTTGCTTCCTAAATTTTTACATTTTGTACAGGAGTTCCCTTGTAAGCCAAAGTATATTTTGGAATATAAATCTTAGGTACTACTAAAATGTCTAAGAAGGTCCTTATTTGAGTTTACCAAGTGTTACAGAGACAAAATAAGTACACTGGAGTGTTTTCTGTGTCCTTAATTCACGTAAGTATATAGTTTTTCCTTATAAGGAATATCAACTTCCACTTTTTTCATTGTCTTTTTCTTGCTTAAGATATAGTACATGTTCATTACTCCTTTATTATTTTTATTTTATCATATGGCTTATGGTCTACAGAACTGTGGGATAAAATTAAAAGTAGGATAAGAGGGGAGGGAGTCTGAGGATTTGGATCACCAAGGAGCCTGGTGATAGTTCTATTATTCATAATGAACACTATAAAATACTTCAGAATGAGAGTAGAAAGATAAGAATCAGTACATGGTGCACTTAGTGGTTGAGTAACTGATACTTATTTTATCCCCCTTTTACCTCAAATGAAATGTGTAGTTGTAGTAACTTTTTGGCTAGTATTCTAAAGGGAAGATATTTTTGCCATGTTTTCATAAATTACTAATTTTCTTATGTCAACTGTATTTTAAGTACTGTTTTACTTTTCATAAAAGGATGTTTAATGCCTATCTTTTTGTGACAATGAAATTTTAACTCAGAATATCAAGAAATAAGTTGCCCTCACTATAAAGATTCATTTGTTTTTCTGAACTAATAAGACAAATAGCTTTTACTTAATACAAATTATAGAAAATTCCAATAGCCCTTTTAAATTCTAGTTGGTATACTAAAGCATGTATTTCATTTTATATGATAGTGGCTAACATGCCTCTTTTGAAAATGACTAATAAAAAAATCATAAATCATTCTCAGTAAATACAGTATTATAATCCATGTACTTATGCAGTATTATGAACACATCAATTTTTAGCAAAGTAGCATCATCCTCAACATGGCTAAAATCCTTTCAGTTCTGAATTTTTATGTAATCATTTGGCAATGAAAATCCTGGGTATAAGAATTTCTGAGACAGATACTGCTATTTAGAACTATAGTGGTTCACTTTCTTGTACCTAGAAAATTTAAATTTCTTTCTTAGTTTTATTTCTAATTTACAGATTTGTATTACTCTGGTAATCTGTTATAAAAAATGTTGATACACAATGAGGACTTCACAACTGAAATAGACATAATGGAATTTACAGGACTTAATGTTTTATATTCAAATATAACCTTATTTGATAGTATACTAGCCTCCTGCAAAAGGGGATTTCCTTCACTCCTAGGTTCCCCTAACTGCTTCTCCTTTTTTCCTTGGGTTATTAGTCAATATGCTTGTGAACCTGTTCAGGTGCTGGATGACATGAAATCTTGAAGATACTTAGATGAAGGTGTCTTGAAATTTGCAGGCACAAAGCACTAAAGTACATAATCATATCAAATGAAGAAATGACCTTTAGAGCAAAAAAAGAAAATACAAGATAGATTATGGTCTATCCCTTTTGAAGCAGCAGCTATTTTTCTGCCTGACTCCCCCCCTCCCCCCAATCTCGAAACTAACTGAAAATTCAACAAAAATACATTTTAGAGTATTTCAATATACAGTGGGCCTTGACTTACGAGTTTAATTTGTTCCGAGACCGAGCTCATCAAGGAGCTCGTTAACTCAAATTACTCTGTCAACTCAAAGCAAAAAATTGGCCCAGAGACAGCTGGTATCTCAAAAAACTCGTTAGTCGGGACACTTGTAAGTCAAGACCCCACTGTATTTCATATTTGAACCTCATATAGTCCTCTGGAACATGCAAGGTATTTCACAGTTATAGAATCTAAGGCACAGTGGTAAAAGCCTAGACCAGGGGTGGGCAAACTTTTTGACTTGAGGGCCATGATGGGTTCTTAAACTGGACCGGAGGACCGGAACAAAAGCATGGATGGAGTGTTTGTGTGAACTAATATAAATTCAAAGTAAACATCATTACATAAAAGGGTACGGTCTTTTTGTTTTTTAGTTTTATTCATTTCAAACGGGCCGAATCCGGCCCGCGGGCCGAAGTTTGCCCACAGCTGGCCTAGACTAAAACACAAAAGCTGGAAAGTAATAGAATGGAAGTCTTCACATTCTTTCAATTATCTGCTGTGCTACAAATTTCTGCTCGAAGGGGCTATAAGTTATAACAAAACCATTCCATCATAGAGGTTTCTTACTCCCTTAAGATTAGCTGTAAGAAAGTAAAGGCCTATGGAAGTGAAGTAGATGTCCCTTGTGTGGACCAAGCGGGACAAAAAGGCCTGGAAAAGATACCATAGTTAAGGGGAGGCATACACAAAATTGTGTTGTATAAAAAATTGAGGAAAGCACACTATTTAAAAACTTTCCCAGAGACCAGAGGCAGATGCTTCCTTTCAGAAATAGGAGCCTCACAACTCTGTTGGTATAAAGGGAATTCTCACCCATGAGAGGTAAATCCCCCCATCATTTACTTGAAATGCTCTGTGTGATCCTTTTCTCTCTGAAGCAAGAACCTTTCCCCTAAGGATGCCAAAGGGCACAAGTGTTTTGAATTTGACTTCCTCACCATAATCACCATCAGTGTAAACCAGGTCAACTCACTCATTACAAAATAGGTACTTGAGTTTTTAACCTGATATTTTAATCATGTTAAACAATTCCACTTGGTAATATTTAAGTTCATTAAAGAAACCCTACATTGAATTTTCAGATATTTTGAATAACCATCCAGTTCTTAAATGTATACTGTTTTGGAGCTCTAAAAGTATTTAAAGTGGACAGCAAATTAAAGGAAATTATTCTGATCTCACCACCACTAGAAGAATGGAAAACCTTTGAATGGACCACAGATGGATATTATTAATTTACTCCAGAACCTAGTATAAAGGATCATCAGATGTGGTACCCCACACAGAACAGATATAGTTTTTTAGTGCCTAAATCTAACAAATAGGGTAGTTGATTCAAATTATCAAAAGATTCACTGCAGGGTTTCTTTCAGCACACTTTAATATGTGTTTATGTATCGCTAAAAATTTGGTGAAGGCAAGTGAGGTCCAGAGGTAGGGGAAAATATAGCAGAATTGTTTGAAACCACCATAATTAAAGATCTACCATAAAGTTGTCTCAATAAAATAAGAAAATAATTCTTTTATCCAATTTTGTGATTAAGTTATTACCAACAATGATTTTCTTTTCCTTTGATGGCTAAAGCTTCTCTCTTAAGTACCATAATTCTATATAATCATTTTGGATAATATTTTGAACATATGTACCATCCATCACTTTCTTGAGGATGTAATCAATAAGAGTTTAACCTTTGCTTGATGAGACATCATCATGAATATAAATCCTCGAGGGCCATATATAGGGTTACTTACTGCTACCAGAAAATGGTCCCCAAATCTGGTACTTGGTAATATTGTTTTGTTTCATTTCCTCAATATTAGTTGACAGTTTTTAAAGCAATAAGTGCTTACCTTTGCTAACACGAACTCCATCTAATTTACCTGTAACCTGCCATAAGCTTGGATTAATTCTAATAAACTTGATTAAGTAAAAGACACTAATAAGTGCAGTAGTCCTTTGGCCGAGTAAAGTCATTTTTGATATCTTTAAGTATAAATAGTATTTTAGGGAGAGGATAAAGATATAGTTTTTTTAAATATATTTTTATTGATTTCAGAAAGGGAGGGAGAGGGAGCGAGAGATAGAAACATTAATGATGAGAGAGAATCATTGATCGGCTGCCTCTTGCACACCCCCAACTGGGGATCGAGCCCGCAACCCAGGCATGTGCCCTTGACTGGAATCGAACCTGGGACCCTTTGGTCCGCAGTCTGATGCTCTATCCACTGAGCCAAACCAGCTAGGGCAAGATACAGTTATTTTTAAGTAAACAGTTGTATTTTTAAAAATTTGGTTGGAAGCAAGATCTCCAGATATGTAGGCTGTTTCTATACTCAATAAAAAACAATTCACAGCTTTAAATAAGTAATTTTACAGAAACATTTATGGTATAAACTAGTAGTAAGACTACCTGATATTTCACTGAAATGACTCTTAAGAATAGTGTTATCTGACATCTGTTAAAAATAAAATCTTAGCAGAAAAGAACTTACCATTGCTATCCATAGAACAACATATTCGTCTACAAAATTATTAAAGTACTGGTCTAAAAATAAAAGACCTGGGCCCAAAAAGGCAGTGTCTTGAAGATACAGTTCACTTTTAGTCATGTGAGCTATCTATAAAAAAGTAAACAAAATAATTTTACTATTAAATTTCAAACATTTTAGCTTTTACTTGCAGAACAGAATTGATTATAACTTTAATTCACTATTAAGACAAATAAGGATAAAGACACCATTTAATCTCATATTTGATATGGAAATACTGAATCTAAAATTTCTTAAATTCATGATTGATGACTGGGTAGCTTATTAAAGTTTCCAGTATTTAAATTTCTTGATATCAGAAAGTTATAATTGATAATTATAATTAAACAAATAAAAGAACTTGCTATACAGTAAAGAATCTGTTTCCCTAAATATAACATTAACTCATTCACAATTTTACTTGGAGGACAAATACATACCTACATTTTATGATGATAACACCACACACACACACACACACACATAAAATACCCATTGTATGAAATAGTTTCCAGCTCTGAGTTTGAGGACCAAGTAGGTTATTATACCATAAATCATAAAATAATTTCTTACCACCAATTTTTGTGCTACTTTAGCAAAGACACATCCAAACATTAGGGTATAAAGACAAGGATGCTTTTCAAACACATTAGTTGCTGACTTTTTATAGATCATTATTGCCGGTATAATAATTATTCCTATGTGAAGTCCAGGTGACAAGACACTGGTGCCCTAATGGATAAAGCAGAAAATCAACATCACATTTTAACACTATTGATTATATTACATTTTCTGAGCATCTATTTTGTTTTGAACTAGAGACCTAAAGAACAGTGAGTATACAGGCCTTGGCTGTGCTTTTCAAACTTTCACAGAACTCTAGGGTTACAAAGATTCTGTGCTATAGGTGTTTGATTCCAATTAGTAAACACTAAAAAATAATATAATTTATTCTATACCAACTTTTACTATGCTAAAGGTCATCAACTCTTGGACTGCAAAGTTAACATATTTTTGTCCAGAAATATCTGCCTCGCTCTCTCAATACCAACTCCCCCTTCCCCTGCCTTTTTTCGTATTTAGACTGCAAATGCACTTTTATGTAACACTGTAAAATCCAACCCATTACATTTTTATCTTTGTGAATCAGGATTCTCTCAGCATTGCTTATCCTAAACAAAATACTGAAATAAATTTGGTCTTAAGACTTACTAAATCTATAACCACCAATTTAAATGTGTTCATTAAAACAGACATATTCTTGTTTAAGTTTACATGTTATAACTGACTATAAAATTACAGTAACAATACTACAAAGCCATATATAATAAAACATTATACTATATAGTAATAACATAAAAATTTAGACTAATAAAATAGTGCTTTTATCTGTATTATGGTTCGGGAGATTTTATTCAAGAAAATCTGCTGCTAAAAATGTTGGAAAACCACCAGTTTAAGAGTTTGAAATCAACTACTTCTTAGCCCTAATATTTGATTTCTTACCTTCCTTCAAACAGTCCATCAATTATTTCTTAGTAAAACATTCTCTAAAGTGGACACTGACACTTACTAAATCATATTTTCTTTAGTAGGACTCGTGTTCCAGCTAGTGCTCTATTTTGTCACCCATGGTCAAGCAACTAGTCTTCCTAAGCACCTCTGCACAGTACTGTACTGAGGTCAACAGACAAAACACCTCAAAAAACATCAAAATAATGTTTCCAAATATATCAGAACTTATGTATCTAAATGAGTTTTATACTTTGCTTTTGAATTATGTATATAAAATATACTTTAATAGATGGATAATTTACGAATTATGTGGATTCTTTTGAAATTGTCCTAAAGCCAATTCATGTCATTTAAGAGGATGAGACTTTTTTAAATGAAAAATGCTGTATTTTATGTTTATTACTCCTCTTATTTATTAGACCAAGCTCCAAATGACTTTTTTTTCTAAATCAAATCCACCTTTAAAGGACAGAAAAATTGAACTATAACACCAAAGAAATTAACGAGAATGACTTACAGCTTAAAGTAATTCTAAAAAGACATTCCAAAAACGTTTTTGATAAAAGATGGCATCACTGGAATAAGTATTCATATCCTTATGTTCAAGAACCTTGAAGATTACAATATGTTTTTTAAGAAACAGATACTGTGTTATATTTATTTAAAATCTTGGCAGGAGTTCTGACTCATAAAGCACCAGGTCTGTCCACTCAGTTTAGGAATTAAGGTTATATTTTACCTTTTAAAATAGAATAGTTTAAAAATATATATTTCAGTGAAATATACTTCTCTGGTAATAAGTATCCTATATGTGAAACAATGACCTCTGGCAGCTTTCCCGCCAATCAGGAACTCAGTCTCTACCTTTTCTCCTCTCCTCTCCTTATTAGTGTAAGGCACAAAATGCAAGACAACAAATGGCAACTCTTAATTATGTACAGTAGTGTAACAGATGAGTAAATGAAATGCCAGGAATGTCTATTCAGAAAAGCTACAAAGAGGAAAAGTGCTTTATTATCAGTCTACACTGTTTTAAAAATGCTTTTGTATTATGTACTTAAAAAGAATCTTTTAAGATATTTCGTTCCCTTCCCCATTCTTGAACTTCAGCATATGTTTAGTATCTCTGTAGCTGGTGATGATTAAGTTTAGCATAAAATTAATGTCTTACTGCTATAGTGGATCCATTCTTGCCAACTCCACCATGGAGGATAACATGGAAATAATTTGAACAGGAAAAAATTGCTCCACCTACAACTCCAAGAACTGGGAAGATCTTCAATTTTACTTCTAGAATGGGTATCTTGAGGGGTAGAGGAAAGAAACATCATTAAGAAAATAGAATTTATTTTCCTATTAAATAGTAAAGAAACATTACAATATGGTCCTATACAATAAGTTATCACTTTTCTTTTACTCAAACTGTAACTTCTGGAAGGTAGCCTGAAGTGGTAACTTCTCTTTTAATGGTTTTATTCATTAAGTGAAAAACAAATCCACCAAATTCAGCTAAGTCTACTTACATAATTGTCGTGAGACATTTAATCTCATAAACCTTCATCTGACTTAAATGAATGAAAAAGGATAGGTCACTTGGATTTAGTAAATCACAGGAAAGTCAGACACCATAATCTGCATCATGAATGTGACAATCATGATGTGTGTCCATGCAAAAATTCTGTGTAGTTAAGATCCAGGATTAAATCTCTAGCAGTATATTTACCTGTTGGTCAAATGCTGTTCAAGAAAACTTCCAAAGGCAGCAAAGGATTTAAAAAACAGTAACAATGAATTGCCAAAAGCTGTAGGCTGTCGTGTTCTGAAAACAGACTTTGAAATATTGTCCCAAAATTTGTGTAAACTATAGATTAACAATTAATTTAGAAAATTTACATCTAAAATAAATAGCCTTATGGGTGAGAATAAGCAGATGTGCTTTCTTCCTATAGTATTGCCAAAAGAGTGGATGAAATGATTTTAAGATGAAATTACATTCTTCCCCATTAAAACTAAATCAGAATTCCAAATTTAAGACAACCACGTCTGACTCAATGACCAGAGATGCCTAACTGCCTCTAGGTCCACATTCACCTTCTATGGGTACTGACAGAACAGCTACCACCTAAGTAAGACACATCACATTCCTCTACTATATTCTAGAAGCCTATAGTAGCATATGTTTGATGCTATTATTTAAACTTACATGAGAAGAAATATGAATGTCTCAGGGAATGTACCACTACTTGAAAATATGCTCAAAGTCTATTTCTGACCCTAGTGATATGAACTATAATTAGCCAATTCTGAAACCATTGTCTCAGAGAAGTCTCCTATTACTATTTTTAATAGAATTACCTTTTAGAGCAATTTTAGGTTCACAGCAAAATTGTACGGAAAGTACAGAGTCTCCATAGGCCCCAGTGCCTCCAGCATTATATCATACAGAATAGTTTCACTGCTTTATAAAAATTCTGTGCTTTGTCTACTTAACCCTCCTCCCCACAAACTCTGGCAATCACTAACCTTTTCACAATCTCCACCGTTTGCCTTTTCCCGAATGAGTCGTATAATACATAGCCTTTCAGATTGGCTTTTTCTACTAAGTAATATACCGTTAAAGTTTCTCCACGTCTTTTCATAGCTTGGTAGCTTTTTCTTTTTAATAGTAATTAATATTCCATTGTCTGGATGTACCATGGTTTATCCATTTACCTACTGAAGGACATCTTGGTTGCATCCACGTATTGGAAACTATAAATAAAGCTGCTATAAACATCTATGTTCAGGTTTCTGTGTGGATAAGTTTTCAACTTATTTGGATAAATCCCAAGGGATCTTATGATAGGAGTATGTTTAGTTTTGTATCTCGTACTATTTTCACTGGACGTATAATGTAAATTAGTGACTAAAAACATAGAATTTGGAATCAGTCTACTTAATTTCTAGCTCCAGATCTCACTAGCTACCTAGTATGTGTTCTTGGACAAATTAATCTAACTAAAACATTCATAAAACAGATTAATGATATTGATTTTATAGGACTGTTCTGAGGATCAGGTGAAGCAATGATAGTAGAATGTTTAGGAACATAGTAAGTGTTGAATAAACGTTAGTTGTTGGCTATTGATATTATCCTTCTTAACTCTATGGGAATGAGATTGTGAGTCAGCCAGTGTTGTGGACTTAGGTTGTAGAGACACAATAATTTGTTTCTTTCTAGTTTCTCCCTTTGCAAAGCGTGAATGTATGACACTGGCTTTGTGAGTGTCAGTTTTGATCAAAATACTGAGGTTACCAACCAAGCAGAAAATGAAAATACTCCTTACTATGGGAAACTTCACCTCATTATAGAGTATAAAAATGCAAATTAGCAACATTTCTTTCCTAATATTGAGGGACAAGTTTCAAATGTATAATATTTTATTGAATTTATTCTTCTAAACATCTATTGTATAAGATAAATTTTGGCCTGGAAAATGCAGTTCAACTAGTGTTTAAGTCTGTATTAGGGAAGTGGGGTTCTTTTTTTTCTCTGTGCTAATATATTCCTGCATAAAGGAAAATGTCATAAGGTATGTAGGATAAAAAAAAATTATATAACAAAAGGAGAAAGTTAAGAAATGCAATGAATATTAAGTACAATGCCCAGGATTTCTGAAGAAAATTAACAATGCAATATTTTTCCTAAATATTTAAAAAGTACTTAAAAGTAAATATAAACATTCAGTTTTACCGTATAGTCCCACATTGTTGCTCCTCCAAATGTAGACAACACAAAGATGATCATTAAACCTACTTGAATTTCATTTACATCCACTCTAAAGATGAAGGATAAAGAATAGAAAAGATATTTGTAAATAAAATTCCTGTATGTAAAGGTTAACCATATACTATATATCAAAGGTGTAAAAATATCTATAGGCTTAGTTTATTTTTACCTTTAGTTCCATCACTGAATTATCAGATGACTACACGGTTAAGTAAAAAACACACCTATAGAACAACATGTGCTCACATACAGGTAAATATTAGTATATGCATGAAGAGGACAACTCTATGGCATATATAAAATTGCTAATAGTGGTTACCACTGAGATTGCAGAAGACTTTTTACTTTCTATTTTATGTACTTCTGTAAAGTTTGAATTTTTTTTATAACAATTACTCTCATAATCAGAAAAAATTACAAAATATAAAAACAACAGATAATTTAAGACAAATTCTTAAACATTCTCAAGTCAATTTAACTTAAGAAGCAGGGAAAATTCCAATAGTTTTCCTTATTAAGTTACTAAGAGTTCCCTTTTTTTCCCATCCAAATATTTTCCTCTTAATATATAAATGTGCTTCAATTTTTTGTATAAAAAAACAACCCCTAGACCTAGCTGGTTTGGCTCAGTGGCTAGAGTGACGGCCTGCAGACTGAAGGATCCATGGTTCCTTTCCGGTGGAGGGCACATGCCTGGGTTGTGGGCTTGGTCCCCAGTAAGGGGGCGTGCAGGAGGCAGCTAATCGATGGCTCTCTCTCATCATTGATGTTTCTGTCTCTCCCTCTCCCTTCCTCTCTGAAATCAATAAAAATAATTTAAAAAAAACAACCCTAAAAACCAGCCAATATCAGTCTCTAATCGGTACCCCCTGAAGCTATCGACTCCTCTCTTCTTTGCCCCATAAACAGGTTAACTGAAAAGTAGTACATTTCTAATTTCCTCCTGTCCTCAGAGTTGCTGCTTAATCCACTCTAATCTGATTTTTGGCGCCATTGTACTAAAATTACTTAATGCAAACAGTGTCTTTCAATTTGCCAAAACTAAGGAATACATTTCAGTTATTATCTTGCATAACCTCTCTACAATACTGAAAATGCTGATCATTCCCTCTTTCTTGAAATGCTTTGCTATGGTTTTATTTATTCCATTCTCTTTCCTGATTCTCCTAACTTGCTGGAAGCTTTTCTCAGGCTCCTTCTTAGACTGCTTCTTCTTCCACATCTTAAATGCTATTACTTCCAGAATTCTATCTTTTCTCCTTTTAGAGTCTCTGAACAATTCTCTCTGTACTTAAGACTATCATCATTATATGCTAATGACCTCTAAATCCCCATCATCTTTTCTGAGCTCCAGATTTTTATATCTGTCAGCCTACTTTACATCTCCACTTGGATGCCCCAGAGTCTCTAGATCAGTGGTTCTCAACCTTCCTGATGCCGTGACCCTTTAATACAATTCCTCATGCTGTGGTGACCCCCAACCATAAAATTATTTTCGTTGCTACTTCATAACTGTAATTTTGCTACCGTTATGAATCGTAATGTAAATATCTGATATGCTATATGTGTTTTCCGAGGGTCGCGACCCACAGGTTGAGAACCGCTGCTCTAGATGCTAAAGGAATACTTATTGCTCTGCAAATATAAAAAATATGAGGATTAGATGATAAAAAAAAACAAAAAAAAAAAAACAGAAATGGAAGAAAACACAACTAAGTTATTTGGGGACAGGAGAAAAGGTGAACTGAATATCAAGGAAAATATGAATAATGACATGCAGGTATTAGTAAGATCAGTGGCCTCCAGGCTTCATGGAGAAATAACCAAGTTAGTTGGAAAAGGAAAACATAATAATAAAATGTTTGGTACTTTGTGGAGAAAAAGGGGGAAAAAACTAACATTTACTGAGCATTGATCATGAGTCCTTTTTCTATATTATTCAGGTCCCTTATTTTTCTTTCTCCTGTCTAACATAAGTTGGAGAAACAGAGAAAATAAAGTTATTATCAAATATGTAATTATTTATAACCGGCAGAATACCTAAAAGATTTAAATTAAGATATAACATTTATGGATGCTCCAATAAGTTAAAAGATAATTTAAATTCCTGATTGAAGCTTTGTTCCCCTTATTACATATATATGAACTATAACAGACAGTGAAAATAAACTCAGTTATATTTTTAAATGTACAACTTAAAATACATACTTACTTTCCAAACCTCAACACACCCGAAACATAAGTCTGCCAATGAGCACAATAAAATAAGAACATCCCAATAAAACAGCAGAAAAACAACCAGTCATGATGAGTTCCTAAGCGCACAGCAATTGAAGCTCCAACTGCCATCAATACTGAAAGAAACAAGGTTTAAGAACCATTAAGAATTGGAAATAATTAATGAAAAAAAATCGTCATCTACTATTCAGCAATACAGAGTTTTAAGGAACATAATCTTGGCATTAGAATAAAGTACACTAAACAAACACTTGAAGATACTTTTAAAATACACTGTGCAAAAATTGCTCCCATAGGTACACCTATCCAAAAAAAAAAATAAACCATTCAAACAGCTCATTTTGTGTTTAAGTCATTATTAAAAAAAAAACACAACTTTAGTTAATTTACCCGTGGAAAGAGAGTCACAACCATGGTCAAAAAGTTCTCCTAAAGGAGAACAAGAATTTGTTCTTCTGGCTTGTTTCCCGTCAATAGCATCCAGTGACTGGTAGATAAAGAGCCCGAGTGCACATAATAGGTATGTCCAGTATGGTGCCTAAAAATAAATGTAAATAATAAAGACTATTATAATAAAACTAGAGGCCCAGTGCATGAATTTGTGCACAGATGGGGTCCGGCCGGCCCGGCCCCAATCGGGGCTGATCAGGGCCAGGCCGGCTGGGGGAAGGGGCCGTGGGCGATTGGCTTGTGGGTCCCGCCCCCGATTGGGGTAGGGGGGTAAGACCGGCCGTGGGGAGGGGCTGTGGGTGGTGGGCCAGCCGTCCCCATCCCCGAATGAGGTGGGAGGTGCCAATTGGGAGTTAGCAGCTGGGGGAGGGGCTGTGGGAGGTTGGCCAGCCAGCTCCACTTTTGATTGGTGTGGGGGGGATGATTGGGGGTGGAGCTGGCTGTGGGGAGAGGCCGCAGGCTGATTGAGGTGGGGGGGTCAATCGGGGGCCAGTGGCCTGGGGGAGGGGCCATTGGTGGTTGGCTGGCTGGCCCTGCCCCTGATCAGTGTGAAATGCTGATGGGGGTGGAGCTGGCTGGGGGGAGGGGCCTCAGGCCTATCGGGGTAGTGGGGGTCCATCGGGGGTGGGGCAGGTTGGGGGGGAGGGGCTGTGGGCGGTGGGCCAGCTGGCCCTGCCCCCGAATGGGGCTGGGGGTGCCGACCGGGAGCCAGCGGCCTGGTGGAGGGGCCATGGGTGGTTGGCCAGCCAGCCCTGCCCCTGATCAGGGTGGGGGGGCTGATCTGGGGTGGGACTGGGTGGAGGGAGGGGCTATGGGCCAATCAGGGTGGTGGGGGCGGGGATGGCCAGGGGGAGGGGCTGCGGGAGGTTGGCATCACAGCAACTGATCATCAGTCATTCTGGTCATTACAGACGCTGGCTTTTTATATATATAGATAATAATGAGTGACAGTAAGCTAGCTTCTGTTTGACAATAGCTCAATCTAAGCCAATCGATACGTTTTCTTGTGTTCATACTTAATATCACCTCTGTATGTTATAAAGAAGATTCATAACCTTCTTTCTACAGGTAAAAATGAAACTGAGCAATCAAATGAGTTGCTCTAAGTCATCCGGGTAGAAGGTCTCAGAAGCCCACATTGTGAGAAGCACAAAGTTAAGTCACTGGGCAAGGATTAGGACTTGATTTTGATTCTTTCAATACTATACATATATGGCACTAGATTTGACATTATTCCAACAAAGATGGATTACAGACCCCTGCTTCTATTCAGGATGGAGTATCAGGGGATTGGATTTACTCTCCAACCTCATAAAACAAGAAAAGCAATAAAATAAACGAAACACCAGTTTTCAGACATTGCAGCCAATACAGGACGTGACCCCTGTAGAAGGGAAACAAATGAGGTGAGCCTATGACTGCAACAGCTTATGGCCTAGAGTCAGTTTCTAGGCCACAGGAAAGAAATGGGGGATCTGAACAGTGCCCAGTGATCTTGCTGTGTTGAAGAGAAACATAGCATAGTTTAGGAAGGCTAAGGCAGCTAGAATTTGTGAGGCAGAGCACGGAAGAAGAGGAAGGTGCTCAGGTGATTACGTATAAGGCATTTAGAAAAGTACCTGGCATATAGAAATGAGGCAAGATAGTAAGCTAAAAAAATTCCTTGGCAAGTGGAATGGGGAAGCCAAGACAGATAGCTGAACAAACTGGCGGAGCAATTTACAGCTTCATACAGGTGGTCACCTCCCTAGAGATAACATCTAGACCTCAGTTGTATTTCAGCTCCAGGCCCAGAAAAGCAGCTGCAATGACCAGTGACCCCCTGCCCTGGTGCTGACCAATCAGCAGAGACCCTGAAAGATGAATATGCTGCTGAAACCTTCCCTGAGACCTCCCCTAAGATTCTCAAAGGCAAAAGAGAGAATAAAGCCCTTAAGACAAAGGACCCAGCTCAAGCTCTCCCTCCTAGGAGCACCCATCGCATTTCTTCCCCCTCAGGCAAGCATCTCCTAAACGCAAAGGCTCCCCAGGAGACTTGCAACCAGGGGAGCAGTGGTCAGGAGCAGCTTGTCCCAAACTTACCCCCAAATCTGTCTCCAAGGCTTTCTTTTCTCTTTTGACTTCTCAGTGAGCCAAAGCAGCCCTGCTTCAGCTCATTTGTTTCCTGTAACACTTTTAGAAACCAAAGCAGTCCAGCCCAGGCTCTCCCGTTGTTTCTTCTATGCTAAGCCCATCATTATTTTACTGTCCCCAGCTTTAATAAACATACCCTCATAGTCACCTGGACTCATATTGTGAAATCTTTTCTGCACAAAGAACCCACACACTGCCAGCTGGCCCTAGGCAGACCTTCCCAGGACCAGGTTCCCTGGCCGGTATCAGAAGGAGCTCAGTAAATTTTTTTAAAAATATATTTTATTGATTTTCCACAGAGAGGAAGGGAGAGGGACAGAGAGCTAGAAACATCGATGAGAAACATCGATCAGCTGCCTCCTGCACACTCCCCACTGGGGATGTGCCCGCAACCAAGGTACATGCCCTTGACCGGAATCAAACCTGGGACCCTTGAGTCCGCAGGCCAATGCTCTATCCGCTGAGCCAAACCCGTTAAAGCAGGAGCTCAGTAAATTTTAAATATTTATTGTAACTGTTATTACTGGTACTACCTGCATAAGATAATTTTAGGTGCATCACGGGTAAATTTTTCATTTCAATATTTACATCTTCATTTTAGTGTATTTTGGAAAAGTTTAATGTGGTTATTAAAAGGCTTAGAATGAGTCTAAGTCTTTAAAAAATGAAAATTTATGAAAGATAGTAAATAAAAAATAGTATAGGTAATACACAAAAAGCAAATCTTCCCAAATTAAAATTTAGTAAATACTGGAACTATACAATGCTCATTTATACGTATGAATTTCTATACTTAAAAAAAAAAAGTCTCTTGGCTTTAAATAACCTTGGGTATAGTTGACAGATATACAAGATATTACATAACCAGTAACGACTGGGACATTTCAATGATCCAAAACGTCAACTGACTACTCTCTCCATAAAAATAGAAACTGCATTTGTAACAGGGAGAAAGAAAACTGTTAAGACAGATCTTGCATGTGTGAAAAAATGTAATACTGGTGTGGTGTCAAAGGAGGACTTTGATCCTAGTGGAGTGATTCTAGTGATTGTTTTTGGGGTTTCTAACAGACTGCCTGTTCTAACCCATATCATGTGCCTGTGATACAGTTAAGACGTCCACCTGCACTGGATGGGGTACTTCCTTGTTTACCGAGGGAGGCTCCCACCGAATGCCTGGGAGGCTCCCGAGGCCGTGGGTGTCAGGAAGGGTAACACTGTTCTCAAGCCACTCAGGAAGGGTCCTGGGGGCTAACTGGTTTCAACAGGGCGCTGTGGCCTCAGCTCTGGTTAGGGGCCAGCATTTGAGAAGGGCACACCCATTCCCAGGAAGTGAGGCAGGTTCCAAGCTGGGGAAGGAAGCCAGTCAGAGATGCAGTTGTTCACCAGCACTTCTGGGCTACAGGGTCTTTTTCTGTATTTTGAGAGGTAGGCTTCTTTTTCTATTTTGTGTGAAAAGTCATTTTTTAAAAAACTCCCAACTCTAGTACTTACTAGAGTTCTTGTTGAAAATGCCAGACTCCCACAGTGCTAAGGGGAACAGGAAGGAAGAGGGGTATGAAGAGAACCCCTGGGGTCAGATCTATCACCAAAGTCAACTGTACCTGGTGCTCTAACATCTGCTCGGTTTTATAACTTCACAAACTCCAAGTGGCCAGAGCCTTATGCCCAGGTCAAACACACAGGGAGTGTACACTGACTTAAAGCTCTTTCCACACACTACAATGCCATGTTCTAGCCACACTTGAACCAGAATTCTCAAGGAGAAACAGCTTAGTCCTTGGGAATCGAGTGCAGGAAAACCACAGGAATCAAGGGGCAAACCCCACGGCACAGCTACTTCCACATCACCTGCAGAAGTTCCTTCCAGGCAGGGCTGGGATCAGGGTGCGGCACGATTTATTCTCAGGGTGGTGCACCTGCCTGCTTACATTCTGAGGCCTGAGTGCCTGCTTGCCTCACTCAAGTCCCTGCCCTGCTAGACCTTTCACCTCTTGAAAGTTTGGAGTTTATATTTTATTTTAGAAGGAGAGGCCAAGAGTCCTGCCTTAATAAATGATACTTGTTAAGTTATTGAGCTGGATAAAAAAGGAAAAAGACCAGATTTCAAAGAAACCAAACCTATACAAAAACTGAAAAGGAATCTACAGATTATTGCCTTTTCTTATTCCCCCAACAAATAACTCTTTATAGTGCAAAGGCAACTATAACCTAAATTATTAAGACAGGGAATAAAACATTTCTTAGGGTCTTTCTTACTTTCCCAGATATACTTGCTTTTCAATTCAACTTTCTATCATAAACAAAAGAAATTGTTCAGTGCCCTTTGACTTAGCTCTATGCTAGGCACTCATCTGCTATAAACACACTCTTAACAGAGACACCAACGTGGATTTATGTACACAGACCGAAAAGATAAAGCAAAAACATTTACTCAAATCAACGTAAACAATGGAGCCACAGTTTATACCAGTCAAAAACAGGTGTATGAGGGTTTTATGGTAGATAAATGCTACTAGGCTGGAGTTTGAAAAACTAGATGGGAATCACTGAGTTTTCTCATATGCAAATGTAGGAATCACATTAAATAAGCCCTAAGGCCCTTCAAACGCTAGGGGTCTATGATTCTACTTAGGATCAGGCAGCCAAGGAACGGGGGTCAAGGACAAGGCAGCATTAAGATAGAACTGCTTCATCAAAGTAAGGAGGAGGCCATTCAGTTCTTGTTTTCTCTATTCGCCCCAACTCCTGCTTACTCTTGGTAAAGTTACCCAGGCCAAACAACTGCTAAGTATTTAAGACCTAATAAAACTGGATAAGGTTGGACAAACATGATCTCCCGATTACATTTTGTTATCTCATCTGTGCAGTCAATAATTCAGCAAATAGTTTTACTAAACCTCTTGCTTTATGTAAGGCACTGTGCTGAGGAGAAAGGACAAATGAGCAATCGCTGTCTGAATTTAAAATCTGGCAGGCTGTCCTGCTCAGCAAAGACACACATAACCTAAATCAGGGGTAGGGAACCTCCGGCCCTCGGGCTACATAAGGCCCACGATATCATTTGGTTTGGCCCTGACCAGGCATTAGAATTAAGTAAATTAAATGTTTGACCAAATATTACAGGTTAATTTTTAAGTTGATAATTCTATATGGCCTGAGAATGATGATATAAATACCCAAATGGCTTTTGGCAGAAAAAAAGGCTCCCCAAATGGAGAACAAAGTCCTACGGTGAAGCATAGCTTTCATTTTCGGGATCCTGGTCTCCATTTAAAGCTATATTCCCTGAAGAGGTTAATCTCCCTTCAGTTTCCTCATCTATAAAATGGGAATAATAACAGTACCTTTTCATAAGTCCTTGAGAGGATTAAATGAAGTAACAGACAAAAACAGCTTCAAATAACACCAGGTACAACATAGTCAATACCTGGTCAAGATTAGTTCTTATTATTAGAGTTTAGAAGATTAAGTGGTTGATTTGACTACGGAGAAGGAAGAAATATTTCATCAGGAGTTAGTGTTAGAACTGGGCATTAAAAGATGGCAGTGGGACAGGAGAACGGAAGAGGAAGGAGAAAAGAGAGGGACAAGGAGAGAAAGCCTTGCTGTATAGTAAGCAGTTCCATTTGGCTGGAGTGGAAAGGTCCTTACCAGAAATGGTGGTGTGAAATGCAATTCAGAGTACTTGCATTAACTTTTTCCTATTAATTTCCCTTCATCCCCCAGTCATGTCCTAAAAACTAACACACTAAGAAATAGATCAAATCTTATTAATATAGATATGTAGTCTGCATTACATACATGTAATCCTCTATGAGTAAGATTATTTCTTAGTAGAGGCCCGGTGCACAAAATCCGTGCATGAGTAGGGTCCGTAGGCCTGGCCGATCAAGGCCGATTTGTGGGGCAACCGGCGGGATGATCGAAGGGGCCCCCCGCTGGCACCTGCCTTGGCCAGCTTGGAGCCACCTGCTCGCTGGCCCAGCCCCCTGCCACAGCCACCACCGGTCGCCTCCCTCTGCAGGGCGATCAGGGGGCCCCTGACGGCACCCGCCTTGGCTGGCTTGGGGTCTGCGGGCTTGGGGCAGCTCCTGCGTTGAGCATCTGCCCCCTGGTGGTCAGTCTGCATCATAGTGACCGGTCGTGCTGCTGGTTGTTCCACTGTTCAGTCAATTTGCATATTAGGCTTTTATTATATAGGATATGGGTAGATAAGCCTAAACCTCAAAATCTAAAACCCTTATGTGTTTTTCCTGATCCTTTATGGAAGCAATCTGTCAAGTCTGAAAAAGCACGAAGAATTCTTAAGTCTAAGCATAAGGAAAACAAGTTCCAAGGCAGATTAAAGTCACTTAACCCTCTGGGCCTCAATTTCCTCTTACTAAAAATATATAGTACTACTGTTACTTCAAGATGAATAGACAGAAGGATATTAAAATAGTGAAAAGACTACTGTAGGAAGGAAAAAATTTGCCAACGTCCTTGGGTTGATATAAAACGCAAATGCAACAATGGACATGAAAGTACTTTACATACCTGATAAATATTGTATAAGATATAAGGTTTTTTTCCTACATACCATATACAAAAAGGCAGGAACTCCAGATAAGAAGGTGGTAGTATATGTAAAAAAAATATAAACTTTGGTGTCAGTCAGACTTAGATTAGACTCCTAGCTCTGTGATCTGAAAGCAGAACAGCGCTCTTCTTTCATGTTGCTGCTGGAATCATCAGACAGGCCATGTGAGTCCTGCAAGGTGTTTCTCCTCGCTGCTTCAGCCACTCAGAAGCATGTGCAGGATCTATTGACATATTTTAGAAACTCTTCTTGCTTTCATCTTAGCCCTTACCTCCCTTTTTAGATCATTCTGATTTTTTTACTTTTTTTTTAAAATTGCCCCCCCCCTTTAAGAGGCTGAGCCTAAAAATTAATTAGTTATACTTTGACCTCTTCCTTCACTCCCCTTCCCTGTGCATCCCTAAACAGAATCTCTTGGACTTGTTTGTATGCCCTGTTCTTTCTAAGTGCTCAACAAATGGTTCTTAAATTAATAACAATATTGAAAAGTTCAAAACCTAACTGGCAATTATCAAAAACATCCAAATACCGTTGGGCCAAATCTAGGCCAAAGAAGAACTACATTTTATTCTACATTTTCAGGACATTTTTAATAACAGTAATATTTTTCATTTGTTGAGCAAGTTATAACGTTTTACATTTATCTGCATGTGATTTATCTGGGTCCTCACTGCAGCCTTGTGAAATTGGTTTGGCAGGTAGCGCTTTCTATTTTATATCTGGGCAACAGACCAGCCGTTCTCTTCTTACTGTGGGAGAGCCATAGTAGAACCCAAGTCTTCCTCATTCTAGCCAAAAACTAAGGCAACTTACTTTTTGCATAAAATATGGAAATGAGTAACAATAGGAATGTCTGCCCAGAAATCATCTATAATGAACATAACTATCAGTCAGCAAAATGTGTTTAAAAATGTAGGCTCCCTCCTCAGGCCTTCCCCACGTTATATTGTCTGTCCATGGGCTATGCATATATGCATATAAATCCTCTGGTTTATCTCTAAAGCGGGAGTGGGGTTGAGGGAGTCAATGGGAGGAAAAAAGGGAACAGCTGTAATACTTTCAACAAGAAAGATAAATTTTTAAAAAGCCTTACGCAACAAAGGCAATAACTGCACAACTGCAGCATTATTAAGTCCAACTGACACATCAAGTCTGTAACATGAGTTTGCACTTTTCATAAGACTGTATTTTAATTTTGTGTGGATTATTTTAATTTTGATTTTTTGGGGGGTGTGGATTATTTTAAACCACTGTGTATTATTTCTATGGTCAATGTTTCTTTAATAAAAAAAGAAAAGAAGAGCATTCTAAGTGGGGGAAAATGTAGGAGCCACTAATTATTATTTTTTTAAATGGATGTATATATGGAGGACAGGAGATATTTCCGCTGTATTCATGTTACCCAACCTCAGATCACATTAGTTCTCCCACAGGATCTATGTTCAAATATGATTATAAGAGGAGTTTACTATTTGGAGGGCAAAGATAGGAAAACAGTGTCATAGAAAGTGCAATGTAGCCTTTATCCCTGCACTCTACAAAGCTATAGGAAGAAGGTGCCCCCACACACACCCCCACCCCCGCCTCCAAAACCCTCCACACAGCCCAAGGGGTGCTACTGATGAACAGCTGTCAAGCCCACATTATTTACTCTTATTTGGGACACAGGTCAACGCCTTGCTGCTAATAAAATCCACTGGCTTTCATGCTCCCTGGGTCGTGATGATAAGGATGATCGCCTCGCTGCTACCTTAGCTGGCGTTTCACGAAAAAGCCAGTGAGGCAAAGAGGAAGTTGTTACCTCTGAGAAGAGTAACTTCTCTCTGATGAACGCTACAGATACTGGTTCTGGAGGACCCTTTCTGGGGGTTCATTTCAGGATCACGAGCACAACCTTGAGAAACAGACGCCTGTCAGTGTCCAGAGGGCACGTGGGGATGACCTACCTGACTGGCCACCAGCCCCGGTGCCAGGCCGCCCGGGATGGTGGTGTCAGTGCCCAGCGGGGCGGGGGGCGGCGGGGCGGCGGGCCCCGGCTCGCAGTGACCTTGACAGCCCCTCCGCCGCCGGGGCAAGGCTCGGGGCGGACGCGGGACTGGGGTGGCGGCGTGACCGCCTCTAGGCAGCCGGGGAGGCTCGGGGCGAGCGGGCGGGCGCGGGGGAAGTGGCGGGGTCCGCCCTCCGCCGCCCCGGGAGGCTCAGCCACGCGGGGGTCTCCCGCTCCCCTGGCGCCTGCAGCCGGGGCGGTGCCGGCGGGGGACGCGGGACTCCGGGACAGCAGTTGGGGGTCCTTCCGCCGCCGAGCCTCGGGGGCGGGCGCGGGGGAACCCCCGGGGGCGCGCCTACCTCCTCGGTGGCCGTGGGGCAGTAGGCGATGAGCAGGAGCGTGGTGAGCAGGTTGATGGCGAGGCCCAGCAGGGTGATGGAGTTGGGGGCGAGCCACAGCGGCACCCACTGGAGCAGCCAGGCCCAGTAGCGCTGCAGCGGCGGCTCCAGCACCGAGACCCCCGCCGCGCTGTAGCGGTGCTCCTCCAGCCGCCGCAGCTGCGCCGCGCTCAGCGGCTCCCACAGCGCCCGCAGCCAGCGCGGCGCCGGCCTGGCCCCCGCGCCCGCCGCCATGGCCGCCTGCGGGCCCCGCCGCTGCGAGCCGCCCGCGCCGGGCGCCAGGGCGGGGACGGGGACGGGGAGGGAGGGCTCGCGGCCGGGTGGAAGCCGCTCGGCCGAGGTCGAGGTTAGGCCCGGCCGCCCCAGGTCCCGGGCCCCCGCCCTCACCCCACCCCCGAGGCGCGGCCGGCAGGCGGGGGCGGGGCCTGGGGGGCCGGGCGGGGTGGGGGGGGGGAGCCCGGGGAGGCGGCGGGGAGGCGGGGACGGGCTCCCACTGGCCACCAGGTCACCAGGAGGGCCCCGCCCACGGCCACTTTGGAATTGGCGCCCCGCGGGCCCTGACTTCCCCACGGGCTGGAAGCGCATGTTGCTCAGTCCGGCTCCTCTCCCGGAGGCTGGTCACGCTCCCCGGAGGAAGTCAGCTGCCCGGACAGTTAGGAGCTGGTTCCTGGCCTGTGGTCGGTGCAGGGCTCCGGCCTCCCCGGGTGCGGTCCGCTCTGGCCTCTGGCTCGCCGCGCCGCAGGCCCGCCCTTCCTGCAGGGCGGGAAGGGAAGGGAGAACCTGACTTTGCACGTCTTGGGTCACCAGTAGGATGGCCCATCTGTCAGCCTGAAGAGAGGTCCTGTGGGCTAAGCACACAAGAGAATTCTTCCTCCCAACCCCCAGGACAGGGGCCCCTGCCAGATATTCGTTCTGGAGGACCCTTTTTTTTGGGGGGGGGGGTGCCGGGGAGGTTCAGGGTTCAGAGACCAACGTGTTGGAACTGAAAATCAGGACTTGGAAACGCGAACAGAGACGGAATGCCTGAAACCCAATGCCCATTTTTCCGGGCATGGGATACTGTTGGCCTCGGCAGAAACGGCAGCAGGTGCTGGGTGAAGTCTGACCAGACCTGGGCCCAGCAACCTCGGCGCTTGAGTTCTGGCTGAGAAAGAATTCAGAACCAAGGCTCAAACTGTAAGAGAAAGTTTATTTAGGATAAGTGAGCTGTCGAAGAAATGGCCTCAGGAAACAAGTTAGAGAGGCAAAAGAAGGGGCCCTTGGAGCTTAGGAGAGAGAAGGGTAAAAGGCAACATTCCTGGTGGAAACTGGAAGGGGACAGCTTGCTGGGTCCCCTGTCCTGAGGGCTTTTAAGGGTGGGGATCTTAGGGGTGGTCCCAGGGAGGATCTCCAGAGAACACTCATCAGCTCTCCAGGGGTGTCCTTTCGGGGTCTTGGTCTCCGCTGATTGGTCCGAGCCCGGGCAGGGGGACATTCGTCAACGCAGCTGGTCCTGATATCAGCCATGGTTTGCTCCTTTCCTGGACCTGGAGCTGAAACACAGCTGAGGCCCAGATTTATTTGATTCAGGTCAGAACCCTATTTTCCTGGGAACTGAATGCTTGAAGGTTATTCTCCATTCCCCTCGGTGGTTCCCCCTCTACGGGGCTCTAACCTTCACGACTAGCAACATGCCAGGGGAGGACAGGGCGGGAGGAGGGGGGTTCTAAATCCCATGACCAGTAGTATGAAAGGTCAGGGGGGCCAAAATGCCATGACCGGCCATAGGCTAAGGGAGGAAAGCTTACCCTGGGGGAGAGGGCCTTGTTTTCCCAGTTCCCCTGTTGCTTGGCACCCGGGGCTTTCTGCCCTGCTGGCACCTGTACCTGGCCTTCTGCCCTGCTCTGCTCATGTCTGTCTGACTGCCTACCACAATACCAATAACAATGGATACTTTTACACATACCCCTCTGCGGGACTAGAGGACGGGGGTCCAGGCCGGGTCCTCCACCCCACATGGCGCATCACACTTGCCACATGTGGTAGTTCACAGGCCTTACCTCACAATGCACCCACTTAAGAGAGGGAAGGCCTGCCATAAACATGTTGTATTGAGACCAGCCTGCACTTGGCTGCTTTCTCTTCATGGTTCTGATCTGCACAGAATAAGCTCAAGACAGTTGCGTTGGGCAGTGTCTGTCAGCAGATGCAGTTTGTCCTGTAGGATTCATCACAATACGTCGGAGGTGGGTCCGGCCACCACCTGCTTTCACGCAACCCACGAGCTAAGTCTGGTTTTTACAATTTTATTTTTATAAATAGTTCTATTAAGGTATAATTTATATATATATATATATTTAAAATATATTTTCATTGATTTCAGAGAAAAAAGGAGAGAGAGAGAGAGACAGAAACATCAATGATGAGAGAGAACCATTGATCGGCTGCCTCCTGCATGCCCCACACCAAGGATCAAGCTGCAACCCAGGCATGTGCCCTGACCAGGAATCAAACCGTGACCTCCTGGTTCATAGGTTGACACTCAGCCACTGAGCCATGCCAACTGGGCAAGGTATAATTGACATATAAAGAATTGCACATATTTATTTATTTATTTTAAGATATATTTTATTGATTTTTTTTTTTTTTTTTTTTTTTTTTTTACAGAGAGGGAGAGGGATAGAGAGTTAGAAACATCGATCAGCTGCCTCCTGCACACCCCCCACCGGGGACGTGCCCGCGCAACCAAGGCACATGCCCCTGACCGGAATCAACCCCGGGACCCTTCAGTCTGCAGGCCGACATTCTATCCACTGAGTCAAACCAGCTAGGGCAAATTGCACATATTTAATGTGTACAGTTTGATGAGTTTGAACATATGCAAACAAACATCCATGACAACATCACCACAGTCAAAATAACAGACATACCCAACACCTTGCAAGCTCTCCTTGCTTCCCTTTGTTATGTTTTGTGGTCGTTGTAAGAACACTTAACATGAGATCTATCTTCTCAATAAATTTTGAAGTGCACAGAACCATGTTGTTAACTGTAAGCACTATGTTGCTGGTTTTCACATTTTCAAATGATTGAGAAAAAAATAAAAATTTTTGTGATGCAAAATTATATGAAATTCACATTTCAGTGCCATGAATAAAGCCATGAGTATGCCTTACATATTGCTTGTGACTGCTTTTGTGCTCCAAGGTTAAAGTTTAATGATGTGGCAGAGACCATATGGCCTGCGAAGCCTAGAGTATTTACTGACTGGCCCTTTACAGAAAAAAGTTTGGGAAATCCTTCCTTAAGGCCATATGCGGGTGTCTGCAGGACAAACTGTTTCTTAATCGTTAATGTGAAAAATGATGCTGAAAATGCATGGAACTAATCACAATAACAGAGACTGACTTCGAACTATGCTGGTTTTATGGATAGTAAATTTGGAGGTACCTGCTTTTTAAATTTCAGTACCATGAGTAATCCAAGGAAAAATCCTTTTCTGGGTTAATAAATTTAACTATATCACAGTTTTTGTTTTGTTAGCTTCTTTTTGCTTTATATTTCACATATTGATGAAAGCAAATGGTTTTTGTCCTTTTCTGTCTTATTTCACCTAGCATAATACCCTCAAGCTCTATCCATGTCCCAAATGGCACTATTTCATCTTTTTTATGGCTGAGTAGTATTCCATTGTGTGTGTGTGTGTGTGTGTGTGTGTGTGTGTGTGTGTGTGTGTATCACATCCTCCTTATTATCTGTTGATGAATGCTTAGGTTATTTCCATATCTTGGCTACCATGTATAATGCTGCAATGAGCATAGGGGTGCAAATATCTTCTTGAATTAGTGTTTTCATATTCTTTGGATAAATACCCAGAAAAGAAATTTCTGGGTCAATTCTCAATTTTTTTGAGGATCCTCCATACTATTTTCCATAGTGGCTGCACCAATTTACAATCCCACAGATAGTGTACAACCGTTCCCTTTTCTTCATATCCTCTCCAAAGTTAAACTAAAAAGCTTCTGCACAGCAAAGTCAACCATCAACAAAAGAAAAAGGCAACCAGCCTAAAGGGAGAAGACATTTGCCAATGATATATCTGATAAGGGGTCACTGCCCAAAATTTATAAAGAGTTCATGCAACTCAACACCAAAAAGCAATCTGATTTTAAAAATGGGCAGAGGATCTAAATAGACATTTTTCCAAGGAAGACAGACAGATGACTAACAGGCACATGAAAAGATGTTCAAAATCACTAATTATTAGGGAAATGCAGATCAAAACCACAAGATACCTCACATCTGTTACAATGGCATCACCAATAAGGCAAGAAATATATAAGTGTTGGCAAGAATGTAAGAGGATGTTTTATGAGAATGCTTCCCTTTGGGACAGCTGAGAGACAGTGGCTCCATATACATATTCATACAAGAAACTAGAGAGAAAGAAGGCTGGGGCTGCAACTCTCCAATAAGAATGAGCACGGGAATCACCCGGACATCCTGCTATAATGCAGGGCCTGAGTCAGTGGAGCTGGGGCGTGAAAGTGGAGCTGAGAGTTTTCATTCTAACAAGCTCCCATGTGCTGCTGCTGGTCACCGGGCCACATTTGGGACCTGAAGCATCTAGTCTTATAAAGCTTGGATGGAGGTACTACTCTGAGCAAGCCCCTTGAGCCCCAAGTGGAAAAGAAAGGGGCAGAAAGAAGAGAGAAAGGACTTGGGGCAATTAAGGGATGAGGAAGACCAGCTTGGCTCAATTTTGCTTAAGGCTATTCTTTCCAAGACGAAGAAGGATAGATAGATAGATAGATAGATAGATAGATAGATAGATAGATAGATAGATAGAGAAGTTCAAGATCTTTTATTTTTATACTTTATTTTTGTTTTATATCTTATATGTATTTTAATATATATGTGCTAATTGACCTCATAATAAATCCAGTGGAATTAAGATCTTGGTACTTGGTGAAGGTGTTGGAACAACATCCATTTGAAGATCTGGGAAGAAAAAATTGTTTTCTTTAAATAAACTCTTATATCATAGAGAAGAATACAACATGTGGATAAATCTTAATGAATATAAGGGGTTGTGCCCTAGCCATTTTTGCTCAGTGGATAGGGTGTTGGCCTGCGGATTGAAGGGTCCCAGGCTCGATTCTGGTCAAGGGCACGTACTTTGGTTGTAGGCTTGATCCCCAGGCCTACTTGGGGTGCGTGTGAGAGGCAACCACTTGATGTGTCTCTCTCACATCGATGTTTCTATCTCT